GTAAAAGGAGTATCCTGGGAGAAGTGGCAGACAGATCAAATAAAAATAGACAAGCTGAAAAAATACCAAGTTTTTTTCCATGTGTTACTTCATGTGTTCATATGTGAAGATATGCAAGCAGAGGAATTGCTTTTCATTGTTCCTAAAGCACTGAAACTGCTTGCACTGACACAGAGGGAACCAGGTACTGTTCAGATCACAGAGACAAAGATATGAACATTTTAAGAAATGGCAAACAGTGAGCCAGCAACTTTCCCACAAATCCTCCTCTGTCAAATATCTTTAAAGTATTTTAGGGGACCTCCCTGCTGGGAAGAAGAGGAAAAACTCACAAGCAGCAACAGGAGGTTCAACAACTGAAAAGGGCAGAACTTGTGCAAGGCAGGTATCTTGAATTCTGTATTGCTATAGTACTTTGGGAGGGACAGGTAAGACGTACTGGTTTCAAAAATACAAAGGAATTTGAGTTGGCTGTGTGAGAACACAGTGGGGGCAGCAGGCCAGCTTACTCCTTTGGTAACACTCCACCCTAGGCAACAGTCAGGTGTACATCCAACAGGGATACCCAGGCCCTGTGGATATAAACATGCTTTAACCACTTCGAGCAGAACATGAATAGGGAACAGTGATTCTTCATCGAGTTAACACGGCAATAAATAGATCTAAATTTTAAGCTTCCAGTTGGAAAACAAGTATCATTAAAAGCTCAGAGCAGATGCACTACTTTGTCTGACCTAAAGCACTCCAATGATCATGAGAAGCTACTTGTTTCTCGAAGATCATTTTGTATAGTAAATCTTTATCTAAGAAAATATTAATATTTAAGGTAAATCAGATGTCGTTTTAAGTTTAATATCTGTGATATGATTCCAGCTGTAACGGTTGTGCTGCTCCATTTGTAACAAAAAAGAGGGAATTTCTGTTTTAAAGAATGTTGCTTTACAGGAATGTGGACAGAGTTAGGGAATTAACACTCCTGCATCCTTTACTAACTCAACTGCAGAAATGTGTCAACACAGTGGCATTTAAACATTAGGTCATAGTTCCAAGAGAAGTGTATATCTACATACACACCATCTCAGAGTAACATGATAAAAATGTACTTAGACTAAGACATACTGCACAGTAACTCAGAAACAAAATAAATCCTCTTAAGGAGGTTTAAACACACAGATATAACTATTGTAAGCAGCCACATCTGTATGTACTTTCATAAATCATAAATCATTCTATGGTGACTACTGTGTTCTGAGGAGATCAAGTGTGCTAAAGCCAAAGTGTGCTAGAGCAAAACATGTTTTTCTTAACATCAGAAAAAAATGTCATCACCAGGCTACACCTCCTCCTGAAGCCATTTTCTAAATTATTCTTGACCTTCTGTATCTGTGCTTCTGTAAATGTTTTGCTTTCTGAGCTAACTGTTCTCATCTGTAATGAGAGAGTTTTTCACCTTCTCTTTTCCTGCATGTGTACTGTGACATGATTGTAACTATGAAAAGCAACCCTCTCACCTTTAAATACAGGGACATGGAGCTCTGAAAAAGAGATGCTATTATCCTTTTCCAACAACACCATCAAATTCCTTCTGATCATATTTACTGGGCCTGTATACAATTGTTATCGTTTCTTTTCAGATGCATCAATTTCTGCTGCCAGCATGATTATGATTTAAAAGGAAACTTCTGCTAAGTTATAGTACGTGATCTCACGTTTTCATGCTCTGAAGGAACACATATGCTCTAACTAGGCAGAGGTACATTCCCTGCCAACCTGATTTCCATATTTCACCAAAACGCCAGAGGTAGCCAGCATCCATAAGGAAAAACACTGATAGGGACAAAAAGCAGGCTCCAGGAACAACAGTCAGTCAGTCACAGGGATGTTTTAGGACAATGAATCAGAGCACACTGGCAATGGATGCCATGGGATATGTCCTGTTTGGGTAGTATGTCAGCTTTTGCAAGCAAAACCAAGCTCTTTCTTGGATATGTGGTTACTGAGTTTCCAGTTTCTCTCAGAAAAAGACTTGCTAAGAAATTCCCTGGAATCTGGGCCCCAGAGAGGGTGATGGGGTAGAGAGGAGGAGGGTAAGGGGGTATAAGGTGCTCACACCAAAGCCATGTGACCAATGCAAAGGTAGTCAGGAAAAAAAGCAGATTTTTATAATAAATAAACCATCCAAGCTGCATTAGTGTTCCAGATATGTACTCAACAAGACCCTCTCCCAACCACAAACCAGCAAGAATGGGACATGAAAACTCATTCAGACAGCTAATGGCACAGTCTCTTTGAACTTTGGAAAGAGGATTTTCCACTGATTTAAGGCCCACCTTTCTTTGTGTTTCCTAGATATATGCAAGGACCGTGCCCCCCCACCCCACCACAAAACCCTTAGGGAGTAGAGGATACACTGGAGAAAAGACCAGTAGTATCCTCCCTTTAACAAAAAAACCTTCCTGATAAATTGTACTTTTGCACAGGCATTGGAAGTAAGCAGGAACTTTCAGAGCCAGGAACCAATGCTATAGCTGCAGTTTTCCCCATCCTCTTACTTCACTGAAGACAAGTCCCAAGGACTTGGCATTCCTTTGGTAGAAACTATAGTCCATGCTATGGCCTCCAGGCAACATAGTGGGTACCAGCATCTCCTCTTCTACTTTTCCCCCGCCTCCCTGAAGCTCACCCAGCTATATCTGTTACTGCTCTGAAGACATTACTGTGGGCCATTTCCACTTTTGCAGTATTATTCATAGCCCTAAAGTCTCCCACACAGCCTGAAGACACAGCGACACATAAAAAACACTTAGATTCATCCACACTGGGGGGATAAAGGTGGGACCTGTTGGATTAACAATCCTCTGACATCGCCATTCTATTTACACATCAAATAAAAGAAAACAAATTAAAATCAAGTTAAGAGTCTGCCCCAAGGATAACACAAATTACCAACCAAAAAAAAAAAAAAGATTAAAAACAAGCAGCAACTTTTATATAAAATTAATAAAAACAAAAGACAAATGAAAAAGAAATTGTCAGTAGCATCTATCGCCTCTCTGCATCTGAACTGCACTTATACAAACTAGTCCATTAGTACAGCAGCTTGCTAGAAATTGACTTTGGTTCAAGCTTAGTTTTAAAAAAATAAAACATAAAAAAATCAAAAACACATAAGAAACGGTGGACGGACATTTGTTAGTTTCCCTGCTTGCAGTTCACTAGTTTTGAAGTTTTAGGGGTAATTGGTTTAAATATCAGTAAAACAGGAAGGTGGAGAGTTAGAGATGAACAGAGCAAAATCATGGCGGTGGGGGGAGAGATAAGGGGTTCTGCCACTTGAGTGCAAACACAAATCCTACATGCTCAGGTCACAAACCAAAGCATATGTAGAATTTAAAGTTGCTGCCTTCCGGATCTTGGATGAGAAGCTCCAGGATCCCCCTGAATCATCAAAATAATGAATATAGCTGCATCAGCTAATTATTTTAGGACACTCCGGTGACAAAAGAAAGGGGGGTGGGTAGGAGTGGGAAAGGGACTCTTCTAATATCCTCACTAGCTAAAAGTAATTTAGTTTTATACACATGGCAGAAACCTTTAAATCCATCAGGAATGGAAAGTTCCAAGTGAACTGCATTGCAGTGATCCAGTCTTCTCTTTTTAAAAATCTTTTTTTTGTTTTTTTGGTTCAGATACTGGATTGTATATTTAAGAATATACGGATCTAACTTCTGTACAGTTCATCACCTCTTCCTCATCCACAGAAATATCCCTTTGCTACACGGATCAGACCCGCCCTTGCAAAGGCAGTGACAGTGACAGGCGACCCCGACGTGCCGCTCGGAGACGCTCATTCCCGGTTTTACTCAGCGAGCGGCGCCGCAGCTCAGAGACCACGTGAGATGGCTCAGGTGTGTGCAAAGCCCCAGAGCTGTGCTGGCATCAACAATGGCAACTTCTGCTCCCATATTCTTGGTTTCTGGGTTTGGCAGCCAGAAGTGCTCCTTTACGGGACAATTTTTCCTAAATACGATGTTGGAAGCATCGGAAAAGGAATATTGCTATGAACGGGGAGAATCCGACCTTTTGAAATCCCGTGCCAACCCACCTGGAGGGAATTTAGAATTGTAAATGCTGCTTTACATACTGCCAATTAGCCTGGGCAATCTGACATTTTTTAAACATTTGTGTGTGCTCTTGCACAGCCAAAGGAAATCACTGGAACAGAAGAGCCATCGCAACGTCACACAACCTGCCCTCGGGAGGTCACATCCCGCTCTCTGAAGTGAAAGGAGCCAAGCACACAAAGCTCAGAGCAGAATTTGGCCATTCTGTCTTAATAATTGAGAGAACTGCAGCTCGGAACTAATTCCTACCTCTGCTTGAAAAGCAGAGACCAGTCTGGAAGTTTGCACACAATGATCTCTGCTGCTACACTGAGCCTCCTGCACAAATGATGGACGTAAATCCTTCTGACCCCTACGAGTAGGCATTAGACAAATTCAAGGATGAGGAAACTGTTCAGAACGTTCCCAGAAGATTAGGACAGAAAGTCTATTTGTGCTCCATTCTTCCTCTCCACCCCCCCGCCCTCCCCCTCGTGGTGTGGGAGCTCGCTGAAAATAATCCAGGAGCAAAGACAAACGCGTCCAAACTATATATATAAAAATAATAATAATAATAATCATAATAATAATAATAGAGATACACCAGTAATACAGGCCTGCCTAAATTGTACCAGTTAAGAAAGGAACCCCCAACATGATTGATACGATTATAAACACCTTGTATGACATAATGGCCTGTACAACAGACCTATAAAATGATAATTAAAAAAGAAAGATATTTAGACCAAAAAGAACCAAGAAATCCCCTTCCTATGTTTGAACTGATAACCCACCTTAACTTGTCATTGTGACTGCTGGAAATGATAAGTAGTCCTTTCACTTTTTTTGTGTTTTTGTGGTTTTTTGTTTTTTTGTGGTTTTTTTTTTGTTTTTTTGTTTTTTTACATTTTTGGTTAGAAAGTTCTCCGATCCATGAAGCGATCCTGAAAAGACAGTGTTTATTATAAAATTAGGCAAATGTCTGTCCCAGCTTTAAATCCTTCCTGTTTCGCTTTTGGTTTTTTTTTTTTTATTATTTTATTTTTCTTTTTTTTTGTTTTTTCCTTCTCTCTCTCTCTCTCTCTCTCTCTCTCTCTCTCGTCCCCAGCAACACGGTGAGAGGATGCCCATGGCATTTTCAGTTTATAAACCCTGCTGGCAGCCAATCCCACCGCACAGTGAAACAGGCTGCTGGCAGCACAGCTCAGCCCGGCTCACTGTGCCTTGGAGGCAGTAGTGGTGGTGGACGTGGCCCCGCTCCCAGAGGCCACCGTGAGGAGAGAGTTCTGGATGGACTCGGCTGAGGTGGAGGTGGCGTGAAGGCTGGCGACTGGTCCAGAGGCCCCTGCGGAGGCTGCAGCTGCAGAGACCAAGCTAACTGGGTTGCTGGTGAGCAGAGAAAGGTTCTGAGGGTTCAGGAACAGAGGGGCAGTTACGATGTTAGGGGTACCTCCAGCATTGGCAAACACCAAGTTTCCAGTTGCATCCAGTGATGTTATTGGAAGAGAGCCACCAGATGCAAGAGCTAAAAAAAGGGAAAAATCGAGCAGGGAGGAGATAACATTAGCAGTAAGCAATAATGCAAAATGTGCCTAAAAGCAAGGGGGCTCTGCATTTTCCTTTCTCTGATACCTTTGCTCTGTGCACCACTAACGATGGCTGTCTCATCATAGGTTGTTCATTTTTTAAATAACAATCAGACAAGACCTTGCAGATACTAAAATGCCTCTGTTGTTTGCTTCTGGGCTAACCCCATTGTGCCTTTCTTCAGACCTTTAAGCACAACAGTGATCTATGTTTCCTGTCAAAGAGAGCCTGTACATTCACCAGCTTGCACTGGAAAGGGTTGAGATGAGTGTTCCTGTGAAATGACAGCTATCAGAAGAAGAAGAAGGTCATGTAACCTTGACTGTAACATTTTGAATGTTGACATATAACCAACCACTGTTGCAACTTACTCTCACCGGTCTAGTGTTCAGTCTGCCTCAGATTATGATCTCCTAAATTTATCTCTGACGCTTTATGAAATGGTTCTTTCTTGTAACCTGGAAACAAGATTTGTTCAGCTAGTTTAGGGGATATTTGAACACACAGGTTAGCTAGACCTCCTGTACTATGATAGACCATGAACTGAGAACAACTTTTGCTGAAGTCAGTGGTAACTTCTGACCACATCTGGCACTCCCAAAATAAATTTTTACTCTTCTAAACGAGGATTTATGTATTTAAAGTTCTCCATAAGGACTTTAGGAGGCAGGATCTTTGTTGTAGGTTCTTTTTAAATACATAAGAGGACAAGAATTCAGGATCAAGACTTGCTGAGAACTGCCCTCCTAACAGACCTCAGAATGGTGCAATTCTGCTCAAGCAGACTAGAGAAGAGCTATAAAAAGCAAATCTCCAGCCTGCTGAGACACAGGCCAATGAGGGGAGGAGAACAAAATAAATTCTAGAACACATTCAATATCTTAAGTGCCTCCTGTAAATCACCCTAAGATCATACACATCTGATTCCTTTCTGTAGTTGCACCTGCTCTTATCTCTGTGATACACATTTAAATTTTGTAAAACCTCAACTCCTATAAAATTTATGTCCAGTGCTGAGAAGTCAATGTTCTTCTTTGGCAGAGAAAAACAAAGCCTGTAAACTGAAGCTGTATGACAGAGATGCATTAATAGGAACACTACTGACCTTGAATAGTTGCCAGTGTACTGTTGCTCATCAGGGCTGGGCTGAGAGCACCACCTAATGTCCCTGGATTGAGACTGAGTAAGGCACCTCTGCAGAAAGCAAGATCACAGAAGAAGGGGAAAAGGGAAAGAGTGTTACTTTTTAGGAAAGGTTGTCACTGTTCATAAATACATCATCATATTTAAAATCAAAAAAAAAGGAGGATGAAGGAAAGACCAGAGACTAAGGACTATTTTTAGTTGATTTTAGTTTTCCCTCCATGAGTGATTAATGACAAGTACAGGCACTGGAAATACATGACTTGTATCGGTTGTTGCTGTAAAATATTTTTGTACAGTATTTTAGGGAAAGTGCCTCTTGTTAGAGAGCTATCATCCTCTCCCAAATTGAGATAAGAAATCTGTAAACCAAGAGGAATTAAAGAGACCAAGAGTCATCTCTCTGAGCAACATTTTTAAACCTACAACTCCAACAATTGTGCATCTTTTACAATTTCTTGCTCATAATGGAGAAATTAATACAGAGGGGTGAAGTGGGTCTAGGCACTCTCTCCATTCTAGAATTAGTTGGACAGATTCTGTGATTCAGTGGTAAGTTGCAGCTCTTAAGCTCTGCAGTGGATGAAAAACTTATTAAATAACAACGTTGTTGCAATGCAGCTTTTTCACCTTTGAAGCGAACACAACATTTGTGTACGTGGACGGGAATGGCAAATTACCACCTATGAGTAAACCTTCAGAATTTGAGATAAATGGCACTAGCATCACCATGAAAACAGTGATACATAACAGCAATTTATCCCAAGAATCCTCCTTCCCTCTTCTGTTCGCCTCACCAAGAAGGGCTGTGCAAAATTCCTCCTTACCCAGCTGCAAACTGTGAGGATGCCATCAAGCCTGGGTTTAGTCCTGCTGCAGCAGCCATGGCAGCAAGACTTGCATTTGCAGGCAACTGTGCAGCTCCTTGTAACGCAGCTGCTGCCGCTGTTTGCAACCCTGATGCCGTTACCATCACCTGGCTGGTCCCAAGAGGGGAGGACAAGGGAGTGGAGGTTGTCTGTGTTGTGCTGGTCTCACTGGCACTGGATGCCTCTGAAGTGGAGGCTGAGGCAGAAGGGGAAGGACTCAGGGAGGGTGATGTCACTGCTGAAGAAGCTGGAGGTGCTGTTGAAATCACTGTTGCCGTGTTGTTAGAGGTGGTTTCTGTTGTGCCTGGAAGATTGATTCTAGTTAGATCAGTACAAAACACAGATATGGCTAAACAGAACCCCCTGCCCACCTGAACAGAGCTGCACACCCAACTGAGAGAGGCACAAACACACATTTCTGTAGTACCAAGAAGCACCAGGGGTTCAAATGAAAAGCTTGGACTACGATGAAGTGACACTTCCCAGCAGAAGGCTGAGGAGCTCTAGAAGCCAGCAATGGAATACAGAGTGTTTCATTTCAGCATCACCTGTGATTTTTATCCCCAGACAAGTCAACTCAATGGTCACAAAGACAAAAGTTTCCTAGCAGAACAACAAGGAACAATGACAAGAATGTCCTGGGATACCAGTGACCAACACAAAATGGTATTTTTAAGAATAAAAAGGGAAAAATGGTAGAGGTTGATGTAGTGTCAGGAGAAATCAGCCCTTACCTGTGACTGACAGACTAGTTACAGCAGGACTGGCCAGAGGGAGCACGGGGTTGACAGTCAGGGTTGTAGCTGCACTGCTAGTCACAAGGCTTGGCGTGGTTGCCACCTGGAGGTCAAAAACGAATAAAACTGCTCAACTGCTCAAAGACAGACAGAGTTAGCTACTAGAGCTGGATTTCTTTCTTCCCATCCTCAGCTGAGGAAGTTATCAAGGAAAACACTGCATATGAACTATCTTTTTTGTATTTCCATTACTTTATCATTCAGTGGAACAACCATAATACCTTCTCTAATCACCAGCAATATCTTTATTCTTAATAACTCAGTATTTGAAAGGAGATATATCCATATTGTCTCAAGACTGCAAGTTAGCTCTCTCTTTCTTTCTCTCTCTCTCTTTGCCTCCCCTCGAGGAGAGCACTTGTTTAAACAGAGTCATTCTTATAGAAAGAGTTACGAAATACATTTTTCTGCATTCTTTTTCTTGTTTAAACATCTTTTCAGCTTCACACCTCTTTCTATGATAAAATTATGTCAATGCCAGCATTACCAAAGGTATTTAGGGTAATGTGTTTACATGGAGAAGCAGAATAACATTTCACTTTTACTTGACCAAACTATAAGCTTTATTTTGATAAGTTTCCTTGTGCCAGAGGAAGGATCTCTGGATTTTAAAACATACAAATGCAGTTTTCACTTGTGGATGGCTTATTACAAGAAAGCTACAATAAACTGAAGATATCACAAATAAACACAAAAGATTTAAGGCTGGAGAAACCAGCTTATGAGGAAAAATGAAATATAAGGAGAGAAAGGACTTTTTATGGACAACAAATGGTGTCCAACAGTAATATTTGAAGGCTGTTATACATCAATGAGAGAAATGAATCCTTTAGAATTGCCCAAGAGAATGTAGCCAAGGATATAGGTTAAAACATTCCTCCTTTCCCCTCTCTTACCTTAAGTTTATTATCAGAGAAATATCTCTCATGCTGCATATCCTCTTATAGGGAATCAAATGCTTCATGCATTTTAAACAAGACTGGGGCAACTGGGACAGATCTAAAAGCTTTCTGCCTATCTGGAATAGTGCATGAGATAAAGAGGAGCTGGATACACAGCACACCTCCCACTAACGCGGCCCAGATGTCGCATCTGTCATCTGTCCACCCAGCAGTTAAGGCCAAGGTCACAATCCATATTTCAGGGCAGGGAATGACCTAGAATTAATACAGCTCACCCCGTGGTCACAGTGACTGACTTCAGCCAATGCAAAACCAGGCTGCCACCAAAAGGGGCCTTCCCCTCCAATCCTGCTTCAGGGCCCCTGCCCTCGTGCAGCCAGGCTGCAACTCACACTGGTTATCCAGCCATATGGAAAATTCATCATTGTTCCTCACATGGCTAATTTGCAGTCAAACTAGTAGACTAAGCCCAAGCATCCTATGGACACAATCTCCAGAGCTGACACAAGGAATCAACAAAGCACACGGTCAGTGAAGGCTGGGGGCAGCAGGGCTGGAACATCCATTTGAGCCGTAGCACAGTCTTAGGAGAAGTTTACAATGACTGAAAATGCTTTGTGAAACATCACTGATAAAAGGGAGACCATGGTTCACACCTCAATTTCTTACATACAATGGCAGATTGTAATAACAGGAAAGTTACTGTAGGAAAGCTTCTTTAAGTTGCAGTCTGAGTGAACCTGCACAGTTCCTAGAACACACTATCATAAATCTCCCTGCTTTGGCAGCAAGGCATGCAACCTTGCTTTGCAATTGGGGAAAAAATAAAGAGTAATAGAAAAAGAGACTAAGTACATTTAACACATCCCTTCCCCTGAAACAAAAGGTTGCATGCACACACCCTGGGACAAGGATGAGGGGAAAGAATAACACATCACCAAAATTAATGGTTTAATGAAGTACTGGAAGATATTAGCTACTACGGTGATGAGGGTGGAATAAATACTACAGAAGGACAGCTACAGGCTACATAAATTCCACCACATTCCTATTAGCATAGCTACTATGAAATCTAATAGCTACTGTTTCTATTTATGAAAACAGACCTCCATGGGCATTGGTAGCAAAGATGCTGAAGGAACCTTGATGCATGTGTTTTGTTACTCTTATTTTCATGAAGTTTGTGTTTACCTGAGGCAAATACAAGTGTGGGAAATTAATAACACGAGTATTAGCTAAACTGTTTCTTTGTTCCATGCCTTTTTTAATATAAATAATTTCTGACTAAAAGTGACAACAATGGTATCAACGGATTTGCATCATGTAGGTCTCCAAACGATGCAGTATCACAGAATGGTTCATGCTGGAAGGGACCACAGTGGGTCATCTGGTCCAACCTCCCTGCTCAAGCAGTGTCATTCTAGAGCACATGGCACAGAATTGCATCCAGACAGTTCTGGAATATCTCCAGCAAGGGAGACTCCACAACCCCTCTGGGCAATCTGTTCCAGTGCATGGTACGTTCTACTGCTGCTCATTCACTTATCAGAGCAGCCAACACAAGAGGGGAGGGGTAGAGCTGTTAAACGTTTTTTTATTACTATTATTTTGCAAAAAAAAATTTGGGTTAGAGGGAAGGTCCAGATATAAACTGGAAGCACTACCTGAAATAAGTTCAAAGCAATAAACCCAAGTGCAAATTTGCCAGTCAGAATATTTGTTTATGAGCTGACTAAATAAAACACCCACACTGAAGGCCTGACTAGTGCCTGATTTCTAAGTATTATCTTAGACAGTATCCAAGAGGAATATTTAAAATGCCAGTAAAATCTAAATATGTGAGAACAAGTCTGCTGTACAAAGAAGGTGCAGCACGTGTAACTTCCACAGTGAGCAGAGTAGAACTACCTCTTTGAGTGAACTTTGCCAACACAGTTCTTAATTCTTACCAGTGAGGTTGGGCAAGGGAAAATTGCTTTGATGGGCGAGCTGCTGGTTCCACCACTGCTGGGTGGGTTGATCCTTTTCTCCTTCTGGCGCCGGTTACAGAACCAAACGCGGATCACCTCCTTCTCCATGTTTAGCTGGTCAGCTATCATGGCGATCTCATCCGAGGTAGGCTTTTGGTTCTGAGGAAAGGAAACAGGGCTTGAAAAGCTGTGAAATTACCTTTGGAGGTTTTTACATTGTAGCCTCTTCTTCAGTAGGCAGAAATCTGGATGGGGTGATTCAGGTCCAGAACCTGATCAGTGGTAGATCAGCAGAGACAAACCATAATAGGTGCTTCTGCCCTCCAGCTAAAAACCTTACATTATATATGTATAGACTGTTGTCCCATTTATCCATCCTCAGAAAGGGTAATGTTTAGATTTACTGCTCAGTATACTGGAATACAAAATCACAAAGTCAGCAAACTGCAAGAACCAATGGGTTTTTTTGAAGGGGTTTGTGTGTGTTTGTTTTTTAAAGTGAAGCAGACACTGATGTGGGCTTCTTGGCACAGCTTTTGTATTCACCTTGTTTAGTGCTAACACTGTCCTAAATAGCACAGTAATGGGCTCACTCTAACAGCTCTAATTGCTAACCAAAGTTTCTTCCTTTCTTCAAAGGCTGAGCACAGCACCAGGATCACTGACCTCCAGGAAACTCTTCTCTAAGGCCACACGTATGTTGGTCTCTATGCTGGTGCGTTTCTTCCTCCTACGGTTCAAGCCTTCGATCCCTTGCCCTGGAGAATTCAGGGCACTTGGGCTGGAGAGAGTTGAATCAGATGAGAGGTTTTCTGAAAAAGAAGAAAGTAACACAGATCAGGAGGTTTTCTCTGAATGCAGTGCAGTCTAATGCAAGTGTTCTTCATCTGTGCAAGGTATGTTAAGACCCACTCTGTATCTACTCCAAATACAGAGAGATTTATGGAGATCACATGCATTAATCATTGTATCTACAAATTACAACATATACTTGAAACTAAAAAGCTACAAGTAAGCCCAGAGGGTGCTCTCTGCTCCATATGCTACCACGTTATCCCCCATAACAAAGTTTGTCTCCTATATCTCACTCCACTCCACACTCTCTGCAAGTCCCAGTTTAAAGAAAAAAAGCAGTAACTGATATCCACGAGCCAGAGCTAAAAGTTACAGGCAATTATGAAAAAATCTGAGCAGGCTGAACTTTCTTTTACCCACTAGAGGAAGAGAAGTTCACAGTCAGCTTCACAGTGTTCAGACTCTTCTCTCTGGACATCTTAGCAGACATTCAGTGCTACCAAACAGTCTACACAGCAAGCAGCTCCCCCTCCTTAGCTTCACCAGGGCTCTAGCTGCTAACCCCTAATCCTGTCTTCACAGAGCAACAAAGAGAGAACACTTAACCCTACTCTGTAGCAGGAAGTGCAATACAACCAACAGGCAAGTTCCTGTAGGGAATTTAAACAGGGAATTTATGCCTGGAGTTCCCTCACTGCCCTGGGGTTTGTGGGTGGTAAGCAGATGTCAAAGTTCACAATGCCTAACATCATTTTGGTAGACTCAAATGGGTAAGTATTTTCTAGATTTTTTTTTTTCCCAGTAATGGCACCATAAATGTGCTGAAACCCTTCCTCAGACTGAAACCTGTCAGAACAAGCTGAGTTCTGTGACAATAAATCCTACAACACTCCCATGTAGAGTAATGGAAGGAACCATCAGTACGCTTTTCCTCCCTGCTTTTATCTAAAGGTAAAATGAATAGCCTTTGAAGTCATCTGAACCTTCTTTTCCAAAGATTTTCATGAAACTGAGTCAGAACCAGAGACAATGGTTCCCCACTTCCAAGCTGTGAAGGACCCCAACACCGTTTAGAGTCCTTAACTTTACAGATCCAAGTATTTCTTCAGGCTGGCAGGAAAAGCAAATGACGACACTCCCTGCAGCACTGGACTCATCCAGGATTGCTGGAAGGTTTGGGGATCACTGGCCTGTGGGCTAGAGCACTCAGTGTGGAGATTTTTATGTTTTCTATCACAGATCTAGATACCTAAAGATAACCCCTGACAGCACAACAGAGTGACACTTCCTTTTCTCAAGGCAGGACAAATTTTCAACACTGCATGCAATTACTTTCAAAATTTCAGAGAACACTGCAGGCACCAGCATAAAGCTCTCTCCATTTCGGTAAAAATAGGAAGGCACACACCATCCCTGCCATCTGTTTAACATACCCATCAGTTTTATACCATGTACAGTTGCATACTTGGAAGAAAAATCTGGCTGACAGAACTCCTGAACACTTTCTATCCTGACACCTAGCACCTCTGTACAAGCTCCTTTTGCTGGTGGGAGATTAAAAAAAAAAAGAACACTACTAACACTGGCATAATGAATAACTTATATCCCAGGAAAAAAAAATATTATAGGAAGGAAAAAGCAAAACCTAACCCACCAAAAAACTCTTCCTGTTGGGAGAGAGTATTTATATGGACCCTTGGAGAGAGATGAAAAGAATGCACATAGGGGTGTGGAAGGAGATGGATGCAATAAGCTCTGCCTACTGAAACAACAAATCATGCAAACCTCTCTCTAATACACATCTGAAAAAGAAAGCTGGAAGAGGATTAGAAGTTATATGCATTAACATACATGAAGGAGGAAAACCATGACACATATTGTACCTCATCCCATGCAATGACTCATCTGTCTGCAGAACACATACTGGAACTATTTTGGATGCATACAGGCACATGGAAAGGGAAGCACAGACCCTTATTTCTACACCCTTATTTGTCCCATGGACAGTTACAAAGACTGGCAGCTTCATAAAACCATAAGGGCACCAACGAAGCAGTTTTTCCAAATCCTACTGACTTTGGTAGGCTGGTGAAGAAATACACAGACTCATTCACCTGCATCATTGAGCCACTTTTCCAGAAGTGGCTTTAACTTGCACATGTTCTTAAAGCTGAGGTTCAAGGCTTCAAAGCGAGAGATGGTAGTTTGGCTGAAGTCATTTCCATAGAGTTTGCCCATAGCGAGCCCAACATCACCCTGGACAAAGAAAGAGAAAAAAGGGATTCACTGACATAGGCACTTCCAAAGCAAGGAATCCTGTCACATTCTCGTGTTCTCTTAGCGACTCCGCTGCTGTGTGGGATTTCAGTTGCACAGAAGCTTTCTCAGTGCTACCAAGATTCATGCTAAAGCAATAATCATAGAGAAATGTCAAACCTCAGTCACTTTAACCATGTAACTCTTTCCAGGAAATCCCTGATGCTTTGTCTTCTTAGCATTATCACTGAGCAGCACATTCCACTGAATATTAACTTGTGATTTTTTTCTTAGTTCTTTAAAATAAAAAAAAAAATGGCCAAGCTCTCTTTAGGAGCAGATTCAAGTTTCTGCATATTTCACACAGAAGAAAAAAAGTTCAAATAATCAGAAATGCAGTGAATTCATGTTGTCAAATTGCTAGAAAACACTTCTGAAAAGATGTCTGCGAACACATATCACAGTTAAACAGATGCAGAAATATTCTTATCTGAACTTTTAGTATCTTCTGAGGTTCAAGCCAAACTTCTCCCCAACAGATACATATTTCAAAACAGATAAGAAGTTGAACCATTTCAAATAATGATTAACTGTAGTCTTGACTATCATTACCCATCTGCCAAAAAGCTATCCAGGAGATTTACAGACAGATGCTCACCTCTTCATATCTGTTATTGCTTTTCAAAACTCAGTTTTATGAGACATTCTGCTTATCTTAATATCTATCTATCTATCTACGTAGTATATACTTTGAAAGTTTTGTTTAAAAGAAAAAATCAATCTGTTCTTGATTGTGGCCATTAAAAACACCATAGCATTTTCTTGCTTTGTTTTAAAGCTGGAAGGTCCTGCCCTTCAAAAAAACTGTATTTCTACTTCAAGTACACTGTTTGATCTAAAGTAGTTTTACTTAGATTTTTATTTTTTAGCACACAAAAAAAAGTACGAGAAGTCTAGAAGAAGAGATTGAAAAGCTTGAGCATTTCGTTAGTGGAGTTTAATTGCAAATAGGTTAGTTGGGTTGTGCATAAAGCTTGCCTTTCTTTTAGGTCAGATCCACACCCACAGTTTGGTGTGAGTACACTAATAGCATGCAGAGTGGCCACACGCAAGTGAGGAAGAAAACAACCTTCGATAAGCTTCGTAAATTGTGCAGGTTGTGCAAAGAAAACAATTTCCTTCCTAGAAGAGGACCAGAACAATTGGTTTGTGTGCCCTTCAATCAGAGGAAACACGTGGGAATTCACATTTATACCTCTACTTATATGCCAGGATTCTGTGCATTTTAAAACTCATAAATCATTCCAAGAAGAGAAACGTGGATGCTCTGCTGGGTTTATGAAGAAGAAAACCTGGCTATGTAAACCATTTTAGAGATAAGTTGATTTATGTCTTGGCAGGAAAGAGTTATGAAATTTGCTCCAGTCCCCCAACTAAATTTAATTCTGGTATTTATGTTGTTCTTACTAACATTTGCCATCTGATTTAAAATGAATAGTTAGCCATTTCTTTGTCAATGCCAAAAGGTGGCAGCATTTCAGTTGTAGGCAAAGGAATTTCCATATAGGGATGAGAATTTTATATATTGAGAAGGACCACTGAAAAGATGGATCGAACAGAGTATAAAGGCACTGTACACACATCTGATCTACTCTGCACATTGAATGAAGCTCTGGTAATGATCTGCAACTGATTATAAGATACATCATTGTTGTGTGTACTGGTCTGTTAAGAAGCTCAGATGGACTAGCAGAGGTAATATCTTTTACAGAATAAAAATAACATGGTCTAAAAAGTACACTCACGTAGCTTGAATTAGACCAAGCAATTAGTCACAGGCCTGCAATCATGCTAAGATGCAGTATGTTCATTGTGCCTCTGTATGTCAAACATGGAGATATTTTTGAGGGAAACAAACAGAAGGATTTAAATCCATCACCCACTTTTCAGGGTGGGAGAAGAGACAGAACTGCTGAAATTCAAAACAGGTTATATTGTTCACGGCAGAATGTAGTAAGTGATTAGTTTGCAATGCAAACTAAATCTTACAATTATTTTTGAGATGCAGGGGTGGCATGAGTCTGAAAAAGCTTGCACTGCCACTGGAAATAAATTTCTTTTATCCTCTGAAAGGCAGTCTATTTATCCAACTATAGGAAACCAAAGTAATCAGGGTCTCTAATTATCATCCAATTATGCAATTAGGTAGAAGTTATTAGAACAGCCTAATTACACACATACCCACTCAGAGTAGGATAGGAATGACCAAATGCAATTTTAGCACATTCTCAAGATTCCCCTTTTTTAATCTCAAAAGCAAACACTGAAACGTAAGCCTGAGCAGTTGTGTTCGTTTTTCCTCACAAGAAGGCCAATAAAGAAGGGTTAAGATACAACTTAAAAAGTCCAGTTGAGCCTTTATAATCATCTCACAGGAGGGCAGATTAAACATAATAACGAGAGATCTACATGAACCTCCTCAGTCAGGCTATGGGAAAGCTATTGTATTTTACTCTATTCTGTTCTGCTCTATTCGGGCTTTTGTGTGTGTCCATCACTTGTATTTCTGTGCCTCCCTCTAGTGGAAAGAACGGAGGGAAGGAGGCACACACGCCAGCAAAATGCACTTCATTTGACTAAGAACATTCTGTTCTTGAGTTATAATTAAGATGCTGCCAGGAACTTTCATTATGAACTTTGATTTTTCAAACATTTAAGACTTTGCCAGAAAAATAAATCTGACTTCAGCACATACTTTCAGCTAGAGCAGATATATTCTGGGGGGAGAACAAATCATGTATGTTGGACTGACTGCTCTGAGCTCAGACTTTTAAATGCTTTGATTTTTGCATACTCTTTCTTCTAAGCAAAAACATGCTTATGCTTAACCACAGAACCCTGCCAAAATTAACTGTTTACCTGGACAGATATTTTAATTTTGCAGGGGGAAAAAGCTCATTTTGATATTAATAAGAAAGGACTCCTGGATTCAAGCAGCTTTTCCCTTCAACAGAATAACAGAACATACAAATGCACTTTGTAGTTTTAATTGTGCTCTCCATTCAACCATTTTCACTAGGTTCAAGATTACTTTTCTTCTGCTCTATGGGTATTTCTGAGCTTTTAAACAAACGAAAACAAACCACAACTCCAGTTCACCTCTGTAAGGAGAAAACTTCAAAGGTGACAGTCCTTTCAGGTTTTGTTTAGGAACCTTAGCAGAAGCATTAAATACAGAAATCATTGATGTTTAATAGGAAAATACACTTGAGAGATAAAAACCCTTTGATATCCAAAGCAACTGCACAGATGTGATACACTTTTTAAACACACAGAGCAGTTAATTGTGCTGTATGATTTTTGGAACTTTGTACTTCTGAAGGCAGCTTTAAAGTGCTTTGTCCCATTCATGTCACATCCTATAGAATGAATAGTGCACATGCAATGACATCTGGAGCTGGTAAATGCACGTTTTCCCCTGCTGGGAAAATGGCTATGCTTTAAAACCAACAGGGAAGTAAGACGGATGTATGGCTTTTTCTGTTATTTCTTAGAAATCCCCTACATAAAGGCCAGAGCATAACCCTATTTAAGCAAGTTCTCCTAGGAAAAGATGGAATTGCAGTCTCTCTCCAGACTTGAAAGATGAGACCTCGGGTTCCACACTGGCAGGCACTAAGGTACGCAGTCTCACCTGAGTGAATCCAAGTTTGATCCGTCTTTGTTTGAAAGTCTTGGCAAACTGCTCAAGCTCCTCAAGGTCACTGGGCTCCTCCAAGCTGGGAGTGTCGATTCGCTTTGGTGTTGACTGGCTCTGTGGAAGTGGCTGAATGGGGGTCGCTGCTATTGTGCGTGTTGGGGTTGCTGGCTATTAGGATAGCAAGGAGGAGATGAAAATCAGACTTAAAAAAAAAAATAATTGGCCAAAATTAAATTTAAATAATAAAAAAAAAAAGGTCTTTCTCTGGTGAGAAAGATCGATGAATTGGACATTTCCTGTGATCTGAAAGTTCCTCCAGTTTATTTACATTCCTCTCCAGAACGAGCAATCACAATCCAGAAAACTCTATTAGTATGACAGCCTTTTAAAGGCTCTGTCATAACCAATTAAAGAAGAGATGTTCAATGATAACCTACAACTTTCATTTGCTGTAGAAGCTGTTCAAAGAAAGGCTGAACACTCTTACTTGATACATTTCTAACATTTATAGACAGCTTGGCATTCATCCCTTTTTAATCATTTTAAAATTGAATTTACTGCTTGTGTGAGGTGGCAGATTGTCATCAGCCCAAAAGATTCAAGTCTCCTGTTTAATCCTGGAAGAGTGAGCACACACAGGTGCAGCAAACATGCCAAGTTTCTTCTAATTCCATCTCTTGTGACTGACTCGACTCTTCCAGTATGAAAAAATTTTCCAGGAAGTCCACAAGAGATTCACTATTCCTGAACATGGGCATACCAGAGCATTTTGCTATGCAACAACAGTAAGTATCTGAAAAGAAATGAGCACCGTGGAAAATAGTAACAGGTGAACAAAATATCTGGTATTGCACAGTTCAGGCTTTATGTGCAACAGGAACACTGGAAACGTGTTTTGAATGCATAACTCTACCTTGAGGAACTGAGATGCAGAGACAAATCATTTGCTCTGGTTGAAGTCTATTCAGTTTAGCTGAGGCTCCTCAGTAAAGGTGATTTCATGCTTTTTTATGTCCTATGCCCAGCTCTGAAACTACAGACTCCTTCAGGCCAAATAAGAACAGTCTCAGGGCTGTGCAGCACTACGGTATCATGCAAAGTGTATGCAAAGGTACAGAAAAGGCTCTTCTCCAAGAAATGGCCTACACAGAGTTGAGTCTTTATGTAGCCCGTTATGTTGTTTTTCTCCTGGGTTACTGCAGTGTTTTGCAGTGCACAGCAGATGGTAGAGGGAGGTCAAGATCTATAATTCCATTACTTGAGAAATAACGTAATCATATATGATCTTTCTAGGATTGCAGGTACATGTGTCCCACTTAAAGGTTTTTAATATTTTTTTAATTTACACTAATCATAGTGGGTAATTACTGCAATATGTCTTTACTGATTTCACCCACATTACGTAATTTATTTTTTATTAGTATTTTAACATTTTTTTAAAACCCAACTGTAATTTTCAGTGAGGAATCATGCTGCTACCTGAGGTATGAACTACAGAGGTGAGACAAATTCCATTTTCCAAATGGTACATGAAAACTACTACAGGTGGTATAATAGAAAATGTAGTTTTCTAAGACTCAGACACATTATTGCAGACTAGAAAATTCTTATATGTAACCAAGTTGGCAGGAAGATACCATATGATCTAACTTGGTATTTGAGAAACAGCATGCAGTCATGAAACTAAACTGCACAGTAAAACCCAGAGCAAAGCACAACTAAATTTACAGGCATGTGCAACCTTAAATTGCTTTTCTTACAATCTGAAAGCTTAACCTTAGAGCTCTAATATTTTAATAGATATCAGAATATTTTAATATTTTATTTCTAACAATCTCTTCACTTCCACAGATGGTAACTGGTAAGACTGGCAATGACTTAGCAATGATATCACAATAACTACCTTATAATAAAGGTAGATCATCACTGCAATCTTCAGAAAAGTACTTATCAGTAATCCTCTTTTTGAGCTTTTTAGGTAGCCCACACCCTGTTGCTCTGAATTTCATAAATTTGTAAATTATCCAAGAAAATCTTACAGGAAATCAAACAATGCTCTAGTGTCATTAACTCAAGCTATCAATCCTGAAAATTTCCAGCTAAAAATAAATATTTAGGACATTAAAGCCTGAACACACAGGCACATTGGGGTGGGAACCATAAAACTGAACTATTTAGAAAGACGAATTTACTGTTATAGTTACAACATCTATTCAGGTAACTAATACAAAGGGTTCATTCACTTGGTATAGTTTAAATCCCCTCAAAGCAACTCATGAACTGTAGAAATAAGCCTGACCTGCGAGGCAAGGGTGATGCTTGGCTGAGACTGCAGGAGGTTGGCTTGGCTTTGCTGAGGTAGTTGCGTTAAGAGATTCTGCGCTTGCAGGAGACCTGGTGAGAGAAAAGTGTGGGTTTGGTTCATCATTTGAAAAGATTAAAACATAAAATGAGGTGAAACAAGGTTCTTGCTGAATGATGAAAAGTTAGACAAAAATTCGAGATGCAAGCTTTCATTTCATCCCTGCACGGGTATCTTCAGACTTTGGACTTGGCAGCCAAAATCCCCTTGCATTTTCCTGAACCCTTGCATTTTCCTGAACCCTTGCATTTTCTTACCCTTCTGTGGTGACAGAAGGGTAAGAGAGAGAAGTCTGGACTGGTCTCCTCTGCAGGAAGAGTTTGTAATGCTCTAGGTTATCCCAGTTCCATGTGCAGGAATCATTTGTTGCCCCTTTCAGCATGCAGATTTTGGATACGCCTCTTCTGATAACCAACAGATGACAAAGAATTACAGGGCCATATAAAAATACTGAGCACTAATCAGATCAAATTCAACAACTGAATAGTAATCAAAGCCACAAATTTGGCTTCTTGATCAACCTCCTTCCTCTCTGTGTGACCCTATGCCAGCTGCCTAACAAGAAGGAAACTTCCTCTGGCAAACTTAAGCAGACCACACCAGAAGACACAACAAGCCTAGATAACTCTCTCCTGGGTCAAATAAAGTAGGCATCTTTGGGAAAAGTAATTGGAATTTAAGTCCAGGTAAGACACTGAACACAGCTCGATTTGAACAAACAGAACATAAACACCACATTGAATATATGAAAACCCTGCTACTACTGAAAAGTGACAACATTAAAGAACAGTTGCAACTGGTAGAATCAATATACACAATATGCTGTCAATCTAAAAATAAATTTTCTAGCAGTCCACTATTTGCATAGTCTATTAAATCTCTGAGGAAATTAAGATACATACTTGCATCTATATATTTTAACTAAAATCCGTATGATTTTTTTCATTCTTAATACAAAAATGTATATATTTTTAAGGGATAGAATCTTGACAAAAATATATCTACAGTTAGTCAAGTCCCTCAATTTTATTGTGAAAAATACTAACTGTTATTTTTTACGTAACTCCTGGCTATGACTATCAATTTCCATTATCATAATTTAAGGACCTGACTAATTAAACTTACACTTCATAGGCACCTTCAATATACCAGGTTCCCAAAACCAGGGGAGAACAGACTGATGCTGTGCCACTCAGAGGACAGAACACCAACTAAGTGCCACTTAAATTCAACATCATCATCTGCCTGATCTACCTCTTAGCAGAAAATAGGTAGGGGACATGGGAATTTAGGACTTGATAAATAGTGAGAAATTTGATGTTTTATGCAAGGTTAAGGGCAGAGAAGACATGAAAAGAGGGACTACCATGGATAGGAAGGAGAAAATGAATCCTCAGTAAGGGATACACAACTACAGAAGCATTGTCTTCTGACAGTGATACTTGTTTTCTGTTTAACAAAGAGTTGAAAACGTAATTTAAACAGAATGTGTTGCTATCAAAATGCTCAAGACCTAGTGAATACAGCCAGCTGGTTATGCAACATAATAGCACAGCACAGACAACTATGCAAATTTGCTTTGCACCACATAATCAACATGTTCCAGCTGTGTTTTTGAAATGCCACAGCGAGAGAACAGAGCTGCTTAAGGAACTTCCAAGACAGCTACCTACTACAGTTACACGGTTCTTTTTACAATGCAATTATTTGTTCACCTAAAAGATTATTTTAGCTGCCCGAATCTAAAATACCAATTAGCGAACAGTCACCTCTAAGTGAAGAGGTTTTGACCTTCATTCAGTGACAGTGAATTTTAACTGACAGCTTGAAACAGAAAGAGGCAAACCCATCACACCCACACTGCAGGGTCTGACCAAGGAGACAAAACCCAGGCAGCTGACAGGGACCACACCTGAGCTCTAGTCCATCAGTTACAAGTTACTGACCTGTCCTACGACTGCAATCAGAGTAATTAGGGCTGTCCTTTTGTGATTTTTTGTCTTTGAAGAAATCCCAGAGGATGTTTTTCTGGCAATAACACTTTTGCTAAAGAGCACAGAATAACTACACCCTTCCTAATTTTATTCTTGCTCACACATTCTGAAGTAATCACCATGGAATGACAGTATAAAACAATCTGAACATGTTCAATATACTTTGTCTTAACATCATTTCACCCTACTTAAGACATACTGATACAAGGTGTCTCAGGCAGAAACTGGAGACAACAAGTTAGTTCAACCTGACTAAAGCAACAATCAGGGGATGGGGAAAGCAGCTGAACTGTTTTGGCAAAGTATGTGTCTCTTCTGATTACAGCCTTTTCAGGCAGTTGCCACACCCACACTTTGGGCACTTGTTGGCTTTCTTGGGTGGGCAGCTGCAGTTTCACTCCTTTCAGACATGACTTGAACTGGTCTAAGCTTTGCCTTCATTTCTTCTCTAAGAAGAAACCACTGGTCCCCACTGTGGTCTGAGATAACTTTGGTGACCTCACTTACAGCCTTTTACATCCAGTGTAAGTCCAGTGCCACCTTTTAGGCACCTGCTGAGATGTTGTTTGAAACTGGTGTTTCAAACAATGCTGTTTCCTTAGGGATTCATATTGGAATGATCAGCTCTGTTTAGTGGCAGAGCTTAAGGAAGAAGTGGAAAGGCTAAGGAGTATTGGGGACAGTGAAATGGAAATGGATGGAGTTACACCCTTCCAACCCTGAGAGAAGCTCAGGAGTCAGAGAAGGCTTGCTCCTCTTGCTTTCAGGCAGAAAGAGTAGGTGTAGTAGATGGGGGGGAATGGAAAAGGGTCTCTGCTCAGAGAGGTAAAAGAATCCCCTCCCAACTCCCCATCGCCCTCCCAGGAGCCTTTACAGAAAAGGTACAAGGCCCTGGATTTAGAGGGTCAGGCAGATGACACTAGAGAAGAAAAAAAAAATCTATCTGAAGGGTCTCCCAGTTGTGCTCTGTCTATCAGCCAGATCACAACCTCAGGTATTAAGAAAAGATGGGTAGTGGTAGTAGGTGACTCCCTTCTGAGGGGAAGTGAGGGCCCTGTGTGCCAATTGGAACCACCCCACAGGGAAGTCTGCTGCCTCCCTAGGGCTTATGTAAGGGATATCAGTTGGCTGAGGGGACAGGAGCACAGGTGGTGTTCTGGTCAGTTCCTTCAGTAGCAGGGATGAATGATGAAAGGAACAGGAAAACCCAGGTTATCAGTAAGTGGCTGTGGAGTTAGTCCTGTATCTGGACTTCAGCAAAGTCTTTGACACCATCTCCCACAGCATTCTCTTGGAAAAGCTGGCAGCCCACAGCTTGGACAGAGGCACTCTGTGCTGGGTTAGGAACCGGCTGATGGCCGGGCCCAGAGAGTGGTGGGGAACTGTGCTGCGTCCTGTTGGGATCCGGTCACTAGTGGTGTCCCCCGGGGGTCAGTGCTGGGCCCAGTCCTGTTTAATGTCTTTACTGATGATCTGGATGAGGGCACTGAGTCCACCATTAGCAAATTTGCAGATGACACCAAGTTGGGGTGAGGGGGATGTCAATCTGCTGGAAAGCAGGAGGGCTCTGCAGAGGGACCTGGACAGACTGGAGAGATGATCTGATTCCAGCGGGATGAGGTTCAACAAGGCCAAGTGCCAGGTCCTGCACTTTGGCCACAACAACCCCCTGCAGCACTACAGGCTGGGGACAGAGTGGCTGGAGAGCAGCCAGGCAGGAAGGGACCTGGGAGTTGGGATTGACAGGAAGCTGAACATGAGCCAGAGTGTGCCCAGGTGGCCAAGAAAGCCAATGGATCCTGACCTGGATCAGGAACAGTGTGGCAGCAGGACCAGGGAAGTGATTCTTCCCCTGTACTCAGAGCTGGTGAGGCCACACCTCAAATGCTGATCCAGCTCTGGGCCCTTCAATTCAGGAAGGACACTGAGGTGCCGGAGCAGGTCCAGAGAAGGACAACGAGGTTGGGGAAGGGACTGGAGCACAAGTCCTGTGAGGAGAGGCTGAGGGAGCTGGGGTTGTTTAGCCTGGAGAGGAGAAGGCTCAGGGGAAACCTTATCACTCTCTGCAACTCCCTGACAGGAGGGTGTAGCCAGGAAGGGGTCGGTCTCTTCTCCCAGGTAAGAAGCAATAGGACGAGAGGGCACGGCCTTAAGCTGCACCAGGGGAGGTTTAGGTTGGACATTAGGAAGAATTTCTTCACAGGAAGGGTGATTAGACATTGGAACGGGCTGCCCAGGGAGATGGTGGAGTCACTGTCCCTGGAGGTGAGGAAGAGACTGGATGTGGCATTCGGTGCCATAATCTAGTTGACAAGGTGGTGTTCGGTCAGAGGTTGGACTCGATGACCCCAGAGGACTTTTCCAACATAACTGGTGCTGTGATTCTGTAACATCTTTATTACCAGTAAGGCTGATGGGACAAAATGTATTCTCAGCAAGTTTGTGGACAATACCAAATATGGGGAAAGCAGTCAACAGGCCAGAAGGCAGGGTCTAGACTGGCTGGACAAATGGAACCTCATGAAGGTTGATGCAGGAAATGTTATTTGGGGTTCTTTTTTACCATGAGAGCAGTCAGCTGTTGGGACAGGTACTTGAAAATGCTGCAGAAACTCCACCCTTGGACATGTTCAATTCAACTGTCTGAGGTGCTGAGCACTCTGCTGTAATTGGACCTGCTTTGAGCAACACTTCATGACCTTTGGAGGTCCCTTCCAGCCCACATGATTTGTTTGAATCTGTAAAAGCTGATAGTGTACTTGCATACTTTACAGAGGTCTTATTCCTAACCCTCTGCCCTGGGTTTTAAGAGCCCAGTGGTATTACTGCATTAAATATGGCATACAAATTACCTGTGTGACACTCTGAAAGAATGAGGTAAAGATCTATGCAAAAGTATGACAGTTTAGAGGTATTTAATTTTTTTTAATAGTTAAAGTAAATGCATCTACCATCATGCAGGATTTTTCCTGTAATGTCTATGAGTAGCATGAATAATGGTCCAAGCCAAAAAACTCTTCCTGCCAGCCAACAGTCCCCAAGGACTGATCTGGGGTTCAGTTCTTACTATCTAAAATTAAACAAAAGATAAAACAAACATTCAAGTGCAGACTTTTTCAGAATACTTTTTAGAAAGTTGGCCCAGAAGCATAATACATAATTCATTCCTAAATGATCTCCCTAAAGAGTGAATTTTTTCATCTAAGAACTTGACTGCTTTATCTATGCCAAAGCTGCTGTTCTTCTCACAGACATATCCTGGAAGTCAGCTTGCAAGACAAAGCCATTACAACAGCTTTCACATAAGTGAAGCCTCAAAGTGTGTAGGACACGAAGGAAAAAAAGAGAACAAGGACTGAATTTGGCCTGCTATCATTATCCCTCACAACAAAAAAAATGAAATCATAAACAAGGCTTTTAATAATAAACAGCAATAACTTTAGAATAGGTAAGAGCAGTTTCAGTGTTTAAAGGGAATTAGTAGCTTGTCTTCCACATTTGCCTTTCTGGATATTTTCTTCATAAGTACTGTTTCTAAATCTCCTTGACAATGATACAGTATTTTCTTAGATCTTAACAACTTCCGTTTCCAAGATTAATTTATATTAAATGCAGCACCAATTCCCCTCTCCATTCAGATTTTTACTGATATGATTTTTATTGGCAACATCTCCCGAGTAGAAAGGTGAACAGTCACCTGATGAGGGTAATATTTCTAAGAAGCAGCTGTAATTGTAGTAAGGGATGTTGAATTGATTGTTCTAGAGACAGATCTATTAGATACAAGAACAGATACAAGAGGTATAAAGACATTACAGTCACTGCCTGTGACTTCACCAATAATTTGGACAACGGTAGCTCTGAATAAGAAATTGCTCCAAATTTCTATTTCCATTCAATCTTCTGCATAACTGCTGAGGCTTGAAACCATTCCTTCAGTTATGATGTTACCAATTACCAGCCATGGAAAATGAGAACTTGTAAATTCGTTTCATATAAGCCACTAAATAGCCAGAAATCATCTGGAAAAGGAAGGTGACTACGTCGGACACATGGCAGTGGATTTATGGGGAAAATTTCATATCTGTTGCTGGGTGCTGTAATATGTGTGTTAAAGAAAGACAGGAGAACTGATTAACATTTGAGGCGTTGAATTTTCTAAAATTTTTCTAAAATTTCTAAAATTTTCTAAATTTTTCTAAAATTTTTCAGAAGTTCGATGTAGGGTCATGAAGTTCAATCCCTTCAAGAATCTACATACAACTGCTGATGATTTTTTTTCTCTGTACCCCATCACCTCTTGAAGTAACAAGTTTTTCTTTACCAAATGTCTACATGTCTTCTAAAATCTTGTTTAGAGATACTGTTCTTTAGTTATTTCCCTCAAAACTCTTCTCATTTTAAAAACATTTATATGACTACATGGCACACACAAAACAAGTAGCATAGTCTGTAAAGCAATACATTTCTTCCAGAATACATAATCTATACATAAATCTGAATTTTCATGTTAGTTATTAAATGCATACATATATATAAAGCTCCATGCAGTACCAATGAGGCATCAAAAGTAAAGAAAACTCTATGCTAGTTTCCTCAGAATATTTATTATTTTATGAAGTTGACTAATGGAGCAATAGGACAAGAACAACCTGGAAAAGTCAGCTGCAACAGCAAACAACAAAGTAAAACCACACACTTTCTCAATCTTTCTCATAAATAGTAATGTACAGTTTGAGATCTTCGAATAATAACTGTGAAATACTGCAAAAAAGCCATATCAAAAAGTGATATGAGGGGTATTATGGCACACATGTTGCTTTATCATTGAGTGCTCATGAAGAAAATGAGATCCATTCAAGCATTTCAGTTTGGAAGGTTGTCACGCACTAATGACCTATGGTCAGAATCCAGCACATAAATCTCCCCACGTTTTTGAGCTATTCAGTTGTCCAGGCTGCACATTACCAGTAAAACACCACGTTTCTACACACACTGAGTCACTGGATGACAGCAATATGCAAGTCTTATATTGCAGTGAAGAATTAATTTTACAGATGGCCCCTGAAAAAAGGTACTATGAAAACCTCCTCTAGTAGTTAATTCTACTTCGGGAGATTTTAAACAAACAGAAAAGCCTCCCTTCCTTTCTATAATGCAAACAACTCATTTTGGGAGATGAATACAAATTTGCTTCTCTTAGTTTTCCCTTTTTCTGAGGCATCTTCAGAGGTATTTTAGAAAATCAGCAGATTTTCACTGAAAAATGTAGGCAGACCTTAATACCAATGAGTTTTTCAATACAATGCTTTTGTGCCTGCTGTTTCATTAAAAGAATTTATTTTTTAAAAAAACGCTGTTTTAAAGAATCCTTGAACTACATTTTGGTAGTTTGATTTCTTCTAGAACAATATGTTAAGTCTATAAGTTCTGCTTCATTTTAAGAAAACAGTATATCCCTAAATGCTTCCATGAACAGCCTTTTAGCCATTTTCTACCAGTACCGGTATAAAATCTCTCCTAAATCAAGTCCTATTAAAAGGAAGTTAATTTTGACTAACCCTTTATTCAAATGTGAGAGCATTCAGACAGCAAGAGCGCTTCAGCATAATGGAAAGCCAGGTTCTATCCAAGTCAGAGTATGTAAGAAGGAATGATGCATGAAAAAATTGAAAGGAACAGAAGAAAATGAGGTGCAAAGAGCTGCTTTACAGGACAGCCAGGCTCTGGAGGACTCTTCAAGCATAACAGGATTTGCCTTCTGAGCAAGAATCTTTGGATTACCAGACCTGAACAACTGAGTAGAGTTCATGTAGAACAGAGAGGAGGAAAAAAAAAAGACTACTGGAGTATATCAGCATAAGAGGCCATGGCTAAACACAGTTTTCCATGGGCAGCAACAAATGGGGCTGCAATCAGTACCGTGATGCATTGCAACTTGGGAACACGTTAGTTCTTACAGCAAAGCTGCTGTACAACATCTTAACTGGTCTGGCACACTGCCACCTCCCACTGCCCTGGTTTGTCTTTGGCACATAAGTCATACCCAGTACATTGTCAAAATATTATTACTATGAGAGCTGTTACACAAATCAAGCATTCTAGTTCTTTTCCCAAGGCGTAATTATTATTTCAGTTTATGACAAAATTCACTGTACCTGCTTCAGGCTTAAGTACTTTTCTACTCTCCCACAAGAACTTTTGATTCTGTAATCTTTTTCCTGTCTGTCCTGGTTTTGACTGGGATAGAGTTAATTTTCTGTCACTGGTATAGTGCTGTGGTTTGGATTTAGGATGAGAAGGATATTGATGACATGCTGATGTTTTAGTTGCTGCTGAGCATCACGGACTCAAGGACTTTGCAGCCTCTCATACCACCCCACCAGCAAAGAGGCCGTGAGCCACAAGAATCTGGGAGAAGACAGAACCAGGACTGCTGACCCAAACTGCCCAAGGGATATTCCACACCCTGTGGTCTCGTGCTCAGTTTATAAACTAAAGGGGGGAAAGCTGGCTGGGAACTGGCTGGACACTGGGCAGTGGGTGGTGAGGAGCTGCACTGTGCATCACTTTTTTTGTATCTCATTTTGTAGCCCTTTGAGCATTGACCTAATCCAGACAGCCAAGGCACCCTCCAGGCCTCCACCTCATAGGATTCTACCTTTGAGTTCTGGAGAGCTGTCTTCTCCAACTTCTCTTCCCAGTAGTCTTACTTTTTGAGAACCTAACCCAAAAATTCAGATGCTGCATTGTTTTCCAAGAAGCCTTGTTGTTAACAAATGTTCCCATGACACTCTCCCTGGATTGGTCCCCCCTGAGAAGTGAGCTACACAAATTTTGACAAGGCTGAGGTCTAACACCAACAAAGGGACAACCTGTTAGAATTCCCTAATTGCAGTGCTGTTTTTCTCCTAGGGATTATCAACAGTTAGTGAAGGTGTATGAACCACCTCAGTTTCACCTTATCCTCTAAAAAAGCTCTGCATGATTTGCTTTTCTGGCATGAAGCACTTACCCTGCTGCCCCTGCGGTGTTTGTGAGATGATGAACTGTGCTGGCTGCAAGTTGGTTGTTGGATGCACCAACACAAACTGTTGCAGGTTGAGATTCTGCTGCTGAAGCTGCTGCAAGTGCTGCAAATCCTTAAGGAAACAGGAGAAGAGAAAAAAAAAAAAAAGAGAGAGAAGAAAAGAAAAAAAAGAAAAAAAGAGAAAAAGAAAAAAAAAAACAAAAGAGGAAAAAAAAAGAAAAAAAAAAGAAAAGAAAAGAGCTGTGTGTTAGACATTTAGGTCAGCCATGACTCCCAATGTAACTCGATTTTCTATCAGCCAGTTACACTCCAACATTTAGAGATAAAAGTGGATGTCAAACACAGCAGCAGTCCTGCTACTGAATATCCTTTAGAACGGCAATTTGAATTGCACTGTCGTTCATAAAACCAAACAAAAGTTATTTAGTAAATAACCCAGCAAAGTATTTCTAGCACTGTTCTGCTTTAAAAACAAAGCAAAACAAAACCAAATAAACAAACAAATCAATCTCCCTCCCATCCCCACCAAATTCAGGAGTTTTCAAATACTTCAGTTTTATCAGCACTCAGACTTCTCAAATTTATTTTTTTGAGGATGGAACTCTGCTACAAATCAAGCATATTAGCTGGGAGCTATTTTTGTTTATAACAACAATCTGCAATTACCATTTGAATCAACAACAAGAAAGCAAAATATTACAGATTCCTTGTTTGCAGGCTGATTGTTCAGGTCAAATTTCAGAAAGTAGCTAACTCAATAAATAAATACATATATTTGATTAGTTCTGAAACAAATTACAATAAGCCTAATAGATATGACTATAATTAAAGTTTAAAAGAAATAATCCAAATCACTGCTTTATTGTAGAACCCTACTTTTATGTATTTAAACCATTCAGAACTGTTAATTTTCTGTAATTAAATGACTGGTCTCAACATAAAATGCTAATCTCGGAGAAACTGGATTTTCAAGAAAAATGCTTCAACCTGACATTTAGCTGGAGAATGAAAACATAAAGAACTGTTTAAAAATATTGCTCCCCCCAATAGCCTTTCTCTTTTCATCTTCTCCAGACAGGACAATAACAAGAGTAACTGAAATTGAGAACTGAAGCACATTGTGAAGTCAGCCAACATAATAGTGGTAATCCATGAAAACTATCTATACATGTAGAATTTTTCCATCTTTCTGAGAAGAAGCTGCTTCAAAATACTCACCAAGCAAATATTTTCCATACTTGCAACCTCCCACTGAAAAAACCAAACTCCCACTGAACAAGCCAAACCAACCAACCAAACAAGAAGACTAAAGTGTCACATTATTTTAAATCTGTTAAACTATAACTTCAAAGTTGCAGAAATCTCCTTTTGGGGATGAAGGGTAGGGAGTGTGTCAGTGGGTGGAAAGGAAGACTAGGGAGTTAAAAAAAAAGGGAGTCCATTGATTTATGAGACCATAGACATGCATTATAGGAAAACGACTACTTAACCTGCATTACACAGACACTGGCCATCAATCACTTGGGCAACTTAGTTGTGTTAAGTCAAGAGCGTGCAGTGTAATAATATGGCAGACAGACACCAGATGGATTGGCCAAGCAATGCTCTTAAGAAAAGGAAACTTCCATCTTATGAGGGAACGGTAAAATTTTAAGAAGTGCCCACGAGCGGAACAAAGTGTTTTCAAAGTCAACGGTATTGTTTGCTTTCAGAAAATTTCAGTAGTAATACAAACTATTCCTATGAAACTGAGGCCAATTTCCCTCTTAAAGAGAGAGAAATAACTGCTCCAGTTTTTCCCTGGAACTCCATATTTCTTCTGACTTCGTGTCATAACATCACAATGGTCAGCACCGCTAACAAAAACTACTGCTTCTTGAGCCCAACACAACATGGGCCTCCACTCATTTATTCACTGATTTTCAATGCTTGACTGGTTACCTCTGCAGGTTGTGCCGACCCTCCAGCACAGAGGGGCTCACACCAAATCGGATGCGAGGACTGGATGCAGAGTTAAAAGCAGAAATGAAAAGAGTAGGGCAAGCTGACTAAGGGTGTGAACACTGGGTGGAAGAAAAGGAAATAAAGAGAGGCTGCAGGGTGAAAACAGAGGTAGATAAGAGAAAAAGTACAAACACAAAAGGAGGAGTTGAGAAGAAACTGTGGAAGGAAGAAGTATCAACAGAAAAACAGACAGGTGGAGGACCTCTCCCACCAAAAGCAAGATGACCAAGTAGATCTCAGATGATTTGAAGCTGGAGTTATGTATTAGAAAGAATACAAAGAAACAGTGGCAGTGTATCTGTAAGATCAAAGGAGGAGAGCTTTTTGTTTAAGACTATTGTATTCATAACACCGGCTACCCAGCTAAGACATGACAGCTCTTATCATCAGGCTCTTACACTTTAATATGAGAAAACTGTTTTTAAATTGAGGCCTCAGGGATAACTGGTATAAGCAATCTTATTCTGTGCATCTGCCCTGGTAACTGGTGTGTTGGCTAAGTCTTGTTTAAATACAAAAATATAATTCTGTAACGCAAAACGAAAATGATACCTCCAAGGCTAATCACACTTAAATAGCCCTACCGGCCCCTCAAATTCATTTGAAATCCAACTTTATTTCTACCTTGGGAAAGTTTTATTATTTAGTTAATTATACCACTACAGTAAATCTCCCAATAGCAACCACATGAACAAACTTGACACTATTTTCCTATACTGATCTTTTTTCCCCTCAGTGTTAAAATTCCTTCTGCAAGCATAAGCACACAGAAAGAGATGGAAAGACTTTCAGGGAAACATGCATGTCTTCTGGTGCTGCCTGACAACTTAGAAAGATCAAAACAATCCAACTCCTACCTCAGCAGAATGATCTGTCAAGTGCTACAACTTGCCATGAAGATTTTTGTTAAAAAAACAAAATAAATCATCTGAAGTTCTACATTCAATGTCATTTTCTCTAATTACACCCTCAGCACCTCTGTAATTTTGAGGTTTACATCATAAAAACACTGATCATAGATCGTGAAAAGAAGTAAAGTTTAAAAAGAACTCCAAAGCTTGGTACAACTGTTCGCTGTCACTTTAGCAGCAGCCCAGCAGCAGCACAAGCATCTCCCCAGGCTGCTGCAGCAGATACCTTACGTGAACTGCAGAGTACGTCAAAGAAGTCATGCTTGTGCAATTAGTTAATTAAAATAAATATGGTAATCCCCCTGCAGCAGAATCCTGCCAGTTAATCAATTATTCAAAAAATCATCAATTAAAACAAACATTCAGCTATTTGTGTAATCAGCTATATGTTTACAATAGCAACACAAACAAAGCTGAGCACTGCTTACAAATCGTTGCCAAGTTGGATCAAAAAGCATGGTGTTACCTACCTATGAACCTAGATGGTAGACATTTTCCATAAGTATCTCAAATTATATCCAACCCCTGCACAAACTATGCCCTGCACTTTCATCATGGGAAGCAGCCAACAAGATTCAACCAAACTCATTTAGGTATCAAAATAACCTATCCTAAAAGAATCAATTGTGAAGTCAAACGTTTCGGTAATTAGAAACGCCAGAAAACGAGTCCAACTTTAATTTGTTCCCCATGTGGCAACAACATGATCACATGCTATTTCTCAAGTAGCACAAGCTCCTGTTTGACGGCACACGCCTGATCTTCTCGACTCCTCTCAAACATTTCTCTGGAGATTCTCTCCAGTACAAAATTAATAACTGTAAATGCTTCACACATTTCCACTGCTGTGGAAGAGAGGGATTAGCAACATCTCACACACTGCATTCAAAGGTATCTGCCCATTCAAAGGTATCCACTGCTTTGGCGGTACATTTGACAAACGTAAAGCCAGAAAGTTCAAGGTATGGGTTTTGTTACTATGAAATTTTAGTGTGCCACACTCCAGTAAAGCAGACCAAACTATCTTAAGCTGCACACCTGGAAGACAAGAGGCACACACCTATGGATTACTTACACTTGGGTTAAAAGACTTGCACAGTATCACGTGGGAACTCTGTGACAGATGCATGGCAAGAAGTTAGAAGCTGACCACCAACTCCCCTGACAAGGACATTTCCCATTCTTTTCTTGAAATCTGTCTGTATTATTGGCTACAAAGACTTAACAAAATTAAGAGATGATCTTGAGAACTACAAGTTTCCTTGAATGCTACATCCTTCAGTCATCTCCACATCATGCCAGTGAAGTGAGATCCTTTGCTAAAAGATTTGTTAATATTTGGTCACACGACTTGTCACAGTCCAACAAGAGGTTCAGTGTGGGATCTCTCACTTAAATGTGGGATGGCATCACTCTGGCCTCTCTAAGGACTGCCAGAGAGGTCAGAACTTCTAGGCCAACCCCACAGAAATTTGCCACTTCAGCTAATCAAAACCTGATAGCACAGCCAGGTTGTTATTCAGCTAGTGGACTAGCACAATAAAGGAACTGCACATTTCACCAATGGACTTCACAGTAATTGTGACATTTCCATTCTTGTCCTTAATCAGACCTCATGTTCACTTTTTAAGACACTTCACCCCAGTTGAATGCAAGAGAAAACAGCCTGAACAGAAAGCACCAGACAGTCTTAAAGAATCTGCTCACTCTAAGAAGCAGCAGCTTTGGAGATTACATATCCAACATACTTTGCACAGCTACACTAATACACAAACTGATACTACGTACTGAGAACCTTAATCTACGGAAAGATGGACCTCAGCATGAGCAACACGACAACCTAATAGTAGCACTCAAGATGCCTCAGCTGTACATTTGTTTACCCTTGTCCACAAGTCTAAGGAGTTTCCACACTCCATATACTAAGTATGGAATTAGTGGCACTGCATTCTCCACACAGAATTATCCCAATCCTGGAAGATCCAGGACAATCCTCGCTGCTTCTAGTAAGCAGAACTGCCTTGAAACGCAGTTCTTCAGAATTAACTGGCAAGTAGTACCAGACCATGAAACTGGACAGATTTCAACTCCAGACACATTCCGGCAAGTTTTTCCCTACACACACAAGAGTGCCCATCCTTTGTCACTGAACTCTGAGCGTTAAGCACCAAGCCAAAACAGCACACAGATCTGTCAAGTCAAACTGCCTTTCTTCAGCTCTGTCATTTTGCTTCCAGCAAGCACCATTTGGGTCTGATGAGCATCCTTTGTGACACACAGGCATCACTTCCCATCCACACAGGTCTCAACAAGCGCAATTTCTGTGGGTATCTCTCTGTACCCTCTTTTCCTCCTTTCCCAAGCTAACTACCAGGAGGAAAATTCAGAAAATACAGATTCTGGAGCAAACTCAGAAGCCCAGTGGAAGTGACGAGCAACTAAGACTACCAACTTCGACCTCACCAGCTGAGGACGTGTGAGGAACGACTAAAAACGCTCGAGGACTCCAGAAACCCACCGAACAAGGGAATAAAAAAAAAACGGTGCAAACGAAGTCAAAGGTCTTTTGTTTTCCACCCTCTCAAGCCTCAAGGCTCACCTGTGCAATCTGTATTGGCTGAGATAGAGGGATCTGCGTCATCGGCGTTGCAGCAGAGGCTGAGATGGTGGCACCAGCAGCGCTGTGCTGCTGACTGGCTGAGTGCTGCACTGCAGCCGCCAGCAACTGTGCCTGCGCCTGTTGGAGCAATAACTGTTGCTGGGCTGGCGTCAACGTGAGCTATAAACAATTAGAAAACACAGCCATTAATAATGCAAAGAGCCACTTCAGCTACAAAGTCATTAGCTAGCTTGTTACTAGGTATATTAACCAGACAACCCCAGAACTATTGCTACGGTTCAGCCGATGACTGTGGCCATAAGTAAGGACAGCTGGCTACTCAACACAGTGTAGGAACCAACCTACCACGGGCGTGACGTAAACCACGCTGCACCAAAGCAAACATTTGCACTTACTGGAACCTACAGAACCTAACTTCACTCCTAAGTCTTCTTCACAACTCTACCAGCAATTTCTGGGAAAAGGTAATTAAGTAGCAAGCAAAAGAAAAGAATCGGTATTGCCAGGATCTGAAAAGAAATTTACACCCAGCAGAACAGCAAGTGATTAGCCAGATGAATGCGAAGCAGGAATGCTGGCTATGGTTACTGAACAAACTGATAACACCCCAGCTGCTTCACATTAGCATGAATCTCTGCCATATTCCATCATTTCCATTATGCCCTAAGATATAAGTAAAGAACATGAGCTCCATTTGTTTCTCTCCAAGTCTCCCCATCTGCTTTTTTTTTTTTTTTTTTTTTAAATAGAATAGAGTTGGCAACTTCACATCCCTTCCCTTTCCCAAACACGCATTATCTCTGAGGAACAGGTGGCAGCAGTTTCTCCTTTACATGTAAATGAATCTTGATGCCCATATTTACTACAATCCGTATCTGCATGGGCCTGGAGTTTTGAACGTTTCACTACAGCAGACAATCATGAATTAAAACAAACCAATATTTTTTGGGAATGCAAAAAATAATAAAATATGCCAGGTTTTAACAACATATTAAAACAGTCTCACTTTTAAAGCTTTCAAATGCAGTTAACTGAAAACTAAATAGGATGTTTATTTGTACATTAACATAGATGAAGGTTTAACAATTGAGCCTGAATTTAAGATGATATTTCATTCAACTGTAGAGATGATCTAATCTAATACTTCGAATCATAAATACATTATTGGAGCAACTGCCCTAAACACACAAACACTTAAAACTGCAAAGTTGACTACGTAAACGCTCATTTTTAATGAGTCCTTTCGAAAAACTTCCTTTTTTGAAATGACTGAAAGCCTTTACAACAATTCAGAAACACCAAACAGTCTAAACCAAGTTATCTCATATTTACTCCCAAAGCCTTGCAATTAAAAAACCCTCAAAATTGGTAGGTTAAAACAGAAGGGTTGAATAGGCTTAAGGAGTACTAATACAGTTACTTAAAAAGAAATGTATTTGAGAAGAGGAAGAATTAGCAGGTCCCATAATTTTGCTCTACACCCAGCTATCTGATAAGATTTAGTCTCGTTCTCCCATGTCCCATTTTAATCTTGAAAAAAAAATAAAAATTCCTCTTTATCACATCAGTGACTGTCCTATTTGTACACACACCAGGTTTTCCTTTCATTGCAGAGTCAAGACGGGTACCGAGAACAGAGAGAAACAATTCTTTGTTGTTGTTGTTTGACAGCAAATACTATTGCAACAAACCCCAAATATTAAAGTCTGCTTATTTTTCTAGGAAGATACCTTCTGTCCCCACTTTCCCTGAAGTTTCTTCCTATGTTAATGACAATCCCCTTCACTGCCAGGCTCTGTGATACTGCCATCAGGAGGCTGACTGCAGTAAACCTGGGTAAACCTTACCCCAGTGATCTGTCCTCCGGCCAGCATGAGCTGGGTCTGGGGTATGGCCGCCTGCACTGAAGGCTGCTGGGAAGGCTGGCTTGGCTGCTGAGAGTCCCCAGATTCTTCATTAGATTTAGACTAGTCAAAAAAAAAATACAACTCTTTATAGTGTAAAACAGATGTTAATGTATAACACACTGCTATCTCAACACCGCACAATAAAAATCTTTCATCTGCATACAAAAAGCCCTTGGGTTTATTTTAAGAGTGTGTTTAAGCAATGGCTCTGTGTGCCCACCATCTCAGCCAAGATTGCTCAAACATGTCTGTAGGTAATGCAGTTTAAACAAAACAAAGAGACTCTCTGGTCCTGTGTAACTCTTTGACGTTATTTTCAGGTCCCATCTCATCTGACGCAATGTCGCTACCTCCCACCATAAAGAAAGAGAGGGCTGTTAAAATTATTCATTGCCTAAAATCCTGAACAATGGAACCAGGGAAAGGAGATTTTGTTTCCATTATCTGCATCCTGTACCTCTAAGTCGTCATACTGTTGGCTTATATGGGACTGCTTTTGAAAAATCCTCACAGGTTTATCCACCGACAGCAAAATACATAATACATAAAGTGCTTTTAAATAATCAAAGTTTAGCATTTATTCTATTTATTTATTAATGCTGCTTTATTTAAAAAGATTCGAGTTTATTTTGATTTATTTCCGTGGTTTGGTTGTTTGTTTTTTTAAACACAAGAAATTGTGAAGACATGAGGGAGGAAACGCAAGTGCATGAAGAGGGGGAGAGAGTTTTATGATAATTAAAACTGGTTATGCAGAACATTAAAATTCTGCATAGATTTGCATATTTTCCACCACCTGTTTTGGGGACTGCAGAGCGGGCTAATTAACATAAAGGCTCTGATTAATTCTGCCAGTCATTGAGTGATAATTACAGCGCAGGACTGTAAACATTCTGCACTGGAGATACAGCCTGTTTGCCAACATCTCTCTCAGGGATGGAAGTTTACCATGGCAACCAAGGCAATTTTCTGCCTCCTTCCTCTTAGAAAGGAAGGTCACTATACCTCCTCTTCTTTCCAAATTGTTATTATGTATAAGTGGGTCCACATTCTATTGCATTTCATGTAATGCACTACCTACATTCTTTAATAACAAGCAATACTGAAACCAGTCTTCAATAAAACTGCATCCCTTGCCCCTTTAATATAGTACTGAGAGGAAGTGGAACATTAACTGATACACTGAAGTGTTCAGCATCATAAAAAAGTTTGAAAGCTTTGTTGTCTCACGTACATTATTAAACAACAATTACTCTGACTTATTTTGATATCACTTTGTGTTATTTACACAAGCAATCTAAGCCTGCCACCTTACATAGTTAATGTTATGTTATAGTCCCATATTCAGGTACCAGAAAAATCGCAAAGTAATACTTGATATGTTTAAAATAAGTGAATAAATGAAAGAACATGAAATATGCCTGGATTTTCATAGTTTTCATGACATGACACCTGACTGAAATTCAGCATTAAGTTATGATTGCTGCACGTCTTAAACAACTCCAGTGTCTGAATGCTGACTACCCTGAACCTGATTTACAGCTGTAAAACTATTATTCCTTCATACCTATCACTTGCAAAACCAGTCAGACTGAAAACACAGAGTAACATACTATAGGTTAAAAACTATCTCTAATGGGACCAGGATGCTCTTCGGGATGAGAGAAGGACAAGCAGCAGAAGGTAACTGTCTTTACCTGTACATTTAAGGACTGAGCAGCAGCCTGTAAACTTGTTCCAGCGAGCTGGACCTACAACAGTGCAAAAATGGAAATGAAATAATGTAGAATCCACAGAAAACTAGCAATGTAAAAAGAACCATCTCCCCACCCACGTCCCAACAAGAACACTGCACGCCCCTCTAACACCTGAATCAGTGAAACAGGGGTTGGGCTCCAGGCTGAAAAAGATCTATAAGGCTCTTCCACAAGTGTTATTTGTCTGCCTCTTGCAGAAGGTATTCCTGCCCAGGGATCTAGATATTATCATGGATAAATCTGAAACAGAGCATATTGGGTGGACAGGCTATCTAGTCCTATTCCTGTTCGAAAAATCCAGGCTCCAGGGGAGGCCATTAAGCTCTAGTCATCACCATCCTACCCATATTTCAGGATGGGTCTTACCCCAACACTGCATTCACCCACTTTCCTACATGACAGAGGAGCAATCACCTGCACAGCACAGAATCCAGAGCATAAACACTCTCCCTCAAATCAACCTGTTCAAGTATTTCCAGTCCTCAGCCACTGAAAAGAAGATCTCAACACAGAGGACCAGAGACACTTTACAAAGGCTGTATTGATTCAGGTATACTTAAAACTTGAATCCAGTGTTTGTGATTAACAGGTCCAAAGAAGGTCTTGTGGGTTAGCAGGGAAGAAAAACAGATGCTTCAGAAAGTGAGATTTTTTAAAAGTGTTATTTTATCTCTAATAAGGATTTTCTCTGTACGACAAACACTGTATTTTCATTAACTCAAGACCATTTTAATCAGTTTTGCCTTGTTTCTACCAGCACTCCTAGTTATAAAGAAGGAATGCTATGTAATTAATTACCAACACTTTCAAAGGTCACAGTTACAGCCTGTAGAGAATTCGGTCTCTGGCCATGTTTGAAAACCGCTGCTCATTTGAAAACAAGGCAACATGTGAGGATACAATAAAGCAAAGCAAAATGTAGCACTCTTGCCTCTGTAAAATGACGTCCCCACATAAAGAGTACACATTTTCAAGCTTGGGAAAAACTGCAGTACACGAAATTAATAACTGAATATTTGAACAGGCGACCCTTAAAAGTCACCTTGGAAATATTTCCTGCCTCTCTAAATGAAGGTACCAGACTTACTAAGCATGTTCTACATCTAAGCAAACACTCTCAGAAAAGCCCCTCCTCATCACAAGCAAAATATAGTTTGATACAGCTGATGTAATGTCACCTTTTAACATAGATTAACAGCAGAGAATAACCTAAACACCACCAGCCTGCCATCCAAAAAAATATACTCAGAAATAATACAGTAAAATGACAGAAAACACACAAAAAACACCAGAAATGTATCTCAGGTACAGTCAACATAGTCCTGAAAATCTCTCTGAATGCAATTTGGACACCCCATTCACCACACAACCAACATTTTCAAATTAGAAATTAAACTGTTCCTGAATGCTGTCTACAGCCTAAGATTTTGCATTAGTCTAGAGGAAAGCACTGTGTGTTAAGGTTGAATAACACCCCACTAAGAGCAGCCACACCAGCAGCGGACAGTTTGACAATAGATCCCCACACACCTGCAGGTGAATAAAAGAATACCTGAGATTTGCCTTTGAACCAGTTTCAAGAAATGAATCACACCTTATCAAACACGAAGTTATAAAGAACCTGACAACTGTTTAAATACATACATTTCCAAAGCAGGATAAAGCACTGTGCTAAACACAATTACTGTCCTGGGTCGATCTATTATAACAAAACGAAGAGTAAAACAAACACACAAAATTCTGCAGAGCAGCTCTGTGTCTCCATGTTAAACACACACTGGCAACCCATGAAAACTAGTCACCTTCCCTCCACAGAAAGGCACCCTACAACAGCCTATTGGTTCAGCAAATTCAAACAGTGGCACTCCCTAGGTCCTACATAAACCAATCTACTAGGAAAATTGCAATTATGTGACAAGACGTGTGGAACGTTCCATACAATAAAACGGCAGTTTCAGAGCTCTTAAAAGAGGGCATAAAAGCTTCAGTACTTCAATTACACCACAATAACTGTGCAACCTCAGACCTCAAACATTCAAGGTCATCCAATTAGGTACAGTATTTTAAAGTTTAAACTTGGTGCTGAGGAAGGGAAAGAAATTAGGACATTTGTTTTCATACATCAAGTGCGAACAGATAAAAAAAAAAAAACCTACAAAAATGCCCCTTATACTTCTCTTCACCTAGGGATGCCCCACTTTGCTTCAGCCTACATCTGAAATTCAGCTTTGATTCCCTAAACACAGCAGCAGCAGCAGAACAGAGGGATAGTATTAGAAGTCTGAATATCATCTGACAAACAGGTCATTGAAATAACTTTAAAAAAAAACCTCACAAACCATATATGCTTAGTAAGTATGATCAACTTTCTTTCTAGTTAATGTGCAAGAGCAAAGCGTAGTGCTGACTACCATTCAGCATCAATTCTCACTTTTAACTAGACAGTGACAGTTTCAGAACCTTGGCAGCTGTTGGGCCGACACAATCCTTTCCCAAAAAGATTAAATTTTACCTTGCCTTTCAATTTGGTATCTCTATTAAGGTTAAAAAAAACAAACAAAAAACCCCCAAAAAAAACCAATCAACAACAACTGAAAAAAAATCCTTCAAAAACACACACCACAAAGTTTAGGCTTCCTCAAGTCCCCAAGATTTGCAGTTCTCTCAGATAGGTCCCACCCTGTCTTGACACATTCTGCAGCCCAATGCACTGCAGTGAGTGCCACGGTAAGAACTTTGTCCATCCGTGTTATTTAAGCACAGGGTCTACCCCTCTGTTCCATTACATGACTCCCTGTCATTCACAGAAAGAGAGAACAAGGCACAACCAAGGGCAGCTGCATTTGCAGCTGTCGGAGCCTCCCCTGCTTTCAAATGGATCTTCCCTTACCTGATGAAGGTGCCCAAGGAAGGCCTGGGCCTGGGCTGTAGAGATTGCTCCTCCGACAGGCACAGGCTGCTTTTGAAAGTCCAGGCCATTTGTTTGCGTGCCTGGAGGAGGAGAGAGATTAAAAACTATTAATTATTACTTTTGAGAAGCAAATGAAAAATTAACACTCCTAAGTTTCCTGCTGTTTCTACGTCGTAGAAAAATACTCTGAGAGTAACAAGAATTGAATCTTTTGCTGAAAGGGGGTTGAGGAAGGAGTGACCCAGCTTTGGTAATGGAGCATTTGTCAGCTGAACAAAATCAACATTGTATTTTCCTCAGCCTCTATTACCTTACCTAATCTGTGTACCCTGGAGATGCCTAAAAGATGTGTAGATGTGGCGTTTAGGGACACAGTTTAGTGGTGGACTTGGCAGTGCCAGGTTAACAGTTGAGCTTGATGATCTTAAAGTTCTTTTCCAGCCTAAATAATCCTGTGATCTGTGTTTCTATCTACACTATCACCCCATCATTGTCTACATGGTTTGAGAACCAAATGAGTGCACGCTGCTGAGATTAAACTGTTTCCCTTCTCCATGCACTCTCTAATCAGCAACTGAAAACTATCTTCAAGTTCAGAACATGCCAACAGCAAGGTTCATATCAAGTCACCTTTCATTAAAGACAGGTAAAATAATACTTGATGAAAATAGAGGTTCCAAATATACATAGCAGTTATGGGTCACAATTTTACTCTTTTGATAAAAGATACCTCCACGTTTCCGTTAAAATTTGTGCAAAGCTCTCATTAGGTAAGAAAACTGCCTAGGCTTGCTTCTGTTTTCACTCCCTTTCATATAACCAAAACCCGATGACTTTCCTACATTTTTGAAGATTTCTTCCTAAACAGTTCAAAAAACATTAAAACCCCCAAACTAGCCCAAAATAATCTGGCTCTGAGAAGGGAAAGAAAAATACCCAACATTTTTTCCGTAAGACACTACCACAGAATTCTCTTCTGCCAAGAGGTACTATAAATGCAAACTTTTAAGAATCATTCTGTGGGGAGATGATAAGATCAACATTAGCAATTATCAAAAAGTGGGTTTGTGTGTTGGGTGTTACTACCCACAATGGCTAATAATGAAAAGGGAGACTCCAAGTGTATCAGGCTGCGTGGAATTTCTAGAACAGATGATGCAATCTTTAAAACTGCATGACTGAAATGAAGCAAAACCAGCTTTAGACTTGCATGTTTACTTTTCATGACAATCAGATTTTGTTCAGTGTCTGTGGACAGGTGTTCAGCCGACTCCTACTTCAAAATTCCTTCCATTATCCACATTCTTTGCCATAAAAATCTAGGTTATCTACTAAGCAAAAGAGTCACAGTTGTTAAACAACAACAGGGGGTTGCTATTCCTTAGAAACATCTGCAAAAGCAAGCAGGCATAAAATGTGATTAGTAAAATAGACTACCCAGTATTTTACATTGCTATTTTGACCTACAAACAGCTTAACACAGATAACATTTCCAAAGGCTGACTCACTGTTCAATTAAATACAGACACAACAGAGATAGTCTGGCATCCATGTAAGATATACAAAGGTGGCCCTTTGATGCATCTTTGGTGGAGGTGTTGTGGGAGGAGAGTTGGTCTACTCTCAAGTTTTCAACTCTGTGCTTTGGGCCAAGGTTTAGAAACTTAGGAGACATATGAGTTAAAAATATTCCAACTTTAAACTATGTAAAATTATTTTGAGTTTAAAATTCCAATTCAAAGTGAATGGAAGGACTATTACTGGCCTGAATTGATCCTGAATGAATGCAGCTTGGTTGTCTTTCTCTAAAGAAAGGTAGATAAAAAAGGTCTGCTGGAAAGAGTTAGAAGAATCTCATCTATTTTCATTCTTTCCAGTAAACTGCAGAATTCTCTTCATGTAGAAGGCCAAAGGGAATGGAAAGATGATTGGATAAATATATAAAAATAATTCCTGACAAACAGCTACTGTAATTCAAAGGAAACAATCTACCACCTCCCCTTTTAAGCAGAAGCTTTGAATTAGTTTTCAGTGTATAGCCACAGACTCCAAAGTACAAAAAGAAACCACATAAGAAAACCTACTGTACGGCAGATACTCCTTATTCCAACTGGAAACTTGCAGGGGTTACAAAAATTACCTGTTTCTGAGAGGACTGGCTGGAAGCCTCACCTTAAGTAAATAGGTGAAGCTGTTCTAGTTAACTGTCTTCCAAAAGGAGCCTCAAATCACGACACCATAGTAAAAGAACACTCCTGAGCACGTGCGCAGAAAAAATGCTCCACTTAGCACTCCTGCTGACTCTTAATATGGAAACCTGAAATGAGCCTCCTACGTGACAGTTTTGAACAAGGCAAGCTCCAAGACTGAGCTTAAAATCTCCATGGGTCCCAATAAAGAATTTAGCTGGGCACTGAGAGAAAAGAACATTTTCTTTGAATTCAATCTTGAAAGACTTCGACTCCCTCTTCTGAGGCCTCCCAAAACCAAACTCAGAGCAAAAAAAAAACCCCACACTACACCTGTTCACCCTCTCCTGTACTTGCCTCTTAAACTTTCTTTGGTCTTTGGAAGTACAGCATTCCCTCCCCTCTGGGTGAAGCTTTAGTTTTGGAAGGAATGCTACCCGGGTTGCTTGCATTTATTACAGGATGCCTATGGCTTCTGAAGATCAGAAAGGAAAATAAAGTGAGTCCAGCATGTAAGAGGCCTTGTTTTTTAAGGTATTGATAAGGATGTGATGCCACTCCTGTGGAATCCAAGAAATCTAGAAATGTGATAAGGAGCTGGAAAAGAGAGCTGTCAGAAGCAGAATCTCAGCACATTCTAAGGACATGGAAAGACCAAAATGCCACTTTTGTTCAAGATAAGAGTTCAATACAAAAAGCCATGATGATTAATGGACACAGCAGATGCAATCACAGGTACTGGGGTTTTAACAATCCCAAGTATTCATGTATCTTCCATCTCCTACTCGAAAGGAGTGGATCTCTCCATGTCCCATCCCTACTTTCTTCTTGTTCCAACTACATTGTCGCTGCCCTGCCCTTTCTGGTAGTTCATAAGTAGTTTGTTTTGAGTGCTCCACCCTCAGCAAGCTGTTAAGACTGAGTCAAACTGTAGGATGAAATTTCACCCTTATAGTCGAGGTCCAATGCAACTTAAGCACATTTAAATTCTGGCATAAATTCAGTCATGTGCTTAACTACTTCACAGAGGTGGTTTGGATGGAGACTAACACAGTGCCTCTCCAGAGAAAGGAACAGAACACTAAGTACCAGGACACCCTGAACATGGATTAGTTTATGCCATCTTGGAGGGTAAAGGCATGAGAAAGTGGAGCAGGCAAGGTAACATTGCACCTGCAGTCAGGGGAACAACTTGACCCTCAGAATTCAAGAACATAATCATCAGACTTCAGCCTGAGTTTGCAAATTGCATAAGAAAGGAAGAGGAGTGAGGAACTCCAGGTCTGGGGAAATGTGGAGTAAGGTCCAAGAAAGAACTCAGAAAGGGAAAGGAAGAAAGAAGAAGGAAGATTTGAAAGCTGACTGGTGTGGGGATGTGCATCGTGCTCTGGGGGACATCTCCCAGCACCGCCAGTACATCTCCCCAGCTGGATCTCCAACTCTCTGCATGTGTCAAGGGAGAGAGAGATACCCCCAATGCTCAGGAATTGTTGATTCCTTGTCCACTTTTACTAATAAGAAGTTTAGCATTAATATTTGCCCAGAATTTTAGCAATTGAAGAATATTTTATGATCCTTCTCCTATAGACTTCCTTCTTATGGAAACCGGAAAAATCAGTCTCTGGAAATGAAGTAATGCAAACAAGAGCCTTTAAAATCCTTCCAAATACTACACTTACAAAAACTATTATTTTGCTGCTATGTCAACACATGTCATAATACTACAGTTTCCATAGTCATTATAACCTTGGCTTTCATAGTGCTGCACTCACACAGTTTTTAAAAGAGAAGGTGCATTAAACAAACAGAAAGGTTGAGGTGTTTTGGAAAATTTTATGCTGCAGCCTATAAAAAGGACATCCAAAGACTATCCATTTACTGTAAGACATTCTTCTTACTTCTCTTTTTTTTTCCAGTAGCTACTACATAGACTGTCCACCCACAACTGCAAGACTGGAAAAGATTACTGTAACTCTACAATACTGATGACCGATGGATCAATTCACATTCTTGAGGAAACAGCCATCCAACAACTCTTGTACTCATTTTTTTGTTGTTGTTCTTAAGTGGTCTGAAATATGGGTTGCTTTTTCAGATGTTTAAAAGGGAAGTCCAGCTAGCACAAAGATTTTAAAGTTATAATCTATTTCAGGCACTCTATTGTGTCCAACATATTTAGGGGACTTTACTACGGTCTCTAAATAGTCAGAACTCAAAACACAAAATCCTAGTTTAACTCCATGAAACTTAGTTGTTAGGTCAGAAAAATACTGATGTTGTCATCTTTAACCAGTGGTAACTGTTGTTTTTTCCTGAGAACATTAGCTATGCCAAATGGAAATTCATGCCCTAGAGTAATCTCTCTTAAAATTCTCAAGTTGCATCATCTCACTACAAGTTTAAAACAGGAATGACCCAAACAAACATCCACTGAGGTTTAAAAGATAGACTAGTAGTGTTTGCACAACAGACTCAAGTGATTTACAAATGTCCCTGGAAAATAGGCAGTTGCAGGAAGTTATAAAAATAAGAACTCTGAGTGTTTATAAAAATCATCTTCACACATTGTCTGGGGAGCACGTCTGGGGAGCACAGGCACTGAAGAAAAATCGATGGCACTCCCAGTTCCTCGGCATCTGAGCTGAAAGCTGACTTTTTTTTCCCACTAAGGATGCACTGAGTCCAGAACCATAATCCAAGCACCCTGATCAGAAGCCTAAAATTACATTCTGTGAGTATTCCTTTCAGGGTTTAACATCTGCCATTGACTAATAAAACTGATGCTCGAGCTCCCAAAGAACGTCACAAATGCCATCAATCACTATCTCCAGTGGTTTATGAACTCTGTATTTAAACACAAAACAATGACCGGAGAACAAAGGGTGCTCAAAAATTCTAGATTATTTTAGTTCACATAATTTAAAAAATCAGGGTACAAAACTAAAAGGAAAGACTGGTAACATTTAGACTACAGAAGCAATGTTCCAAAGTTCCAAACACCAATATGAGTCAAACTTTTGTAATAACTAACCTTAGTATTAGAGTATAAAAAAATATAGACATTGTATCCCCTTTTAACATGAAAGGACCTACATGCAGCTTTACAATCCATCCATTCTATGTCATGACCCCCACCTTCACAATGATGAAATATTTGCCTTGGAGAGCCGAGTCAGGGTTCTGCAGAAGCAGGTGCAGTGCTTTCACGATAATGGATTTATTTTTAAGGACTACCTTTGAATAAAGCAAATCCTCCTCCTAACAGCTCAGTTTAGGTCAAACTGCTGGTTAAGGCTGCACTGAGGGAAGGGTGTTGGGAATGCACTCTGGACAAAACATATGCTGGGAACTGTGGTCATACAGAGGAGGAAATCTGAATTTTCTCAGGAGTTTACACACAACCTCCAGCTACAAGGAGTCTACAGGGATATTTAAAAATCATTGTTCTCTTGATGCTGTTTATGATCATGAAATATTTACAGTCCATATGTTTTGGAAATACGGTTTTATATCACCCTAAACCAGTATTAAATACATAACAAAACACTTCTGTGTATAGAAAGAATTGATACCTCTCCTACTAAAAATACAATGGCAATTATAAAACCTGAGAAGCCAGTGACAAAACACACATTAATAAGCAGGCAGAATTCCTTTGGACTGACCCCATGCATTGGCAGAAAACATCCAGCCTCTCGGACCAGTGCTGGGAACATTCAGTCACTCTCAGTTGCACTAAAGCCTTGCACAAAGAATTAGGAGACAGTGGTATAGAATGAAACATAGTGTTAATTTCCTCACAACTCCAGAGTTTAAAATAAAACTCTTATTACTGAACCATGAGAAGGAAAAATAATATTCCCTCACACAAGGTAACCAGACTTCTCTCAAAGCAACAAGTTCCCTGTCATTAAAATTTTCTCCTCCCAAACGCTGTTCTGAGCTCAGAAAAGATTCTGAGTCAGGTTAAACTATTTACTTTCCATTCAGAAGTGTCATTCCTCTTGCTTCCAAAGTGAACATTAAATTACTTCCAGAAAGGAATTAAAGCATAAGATAGAATGCTTAAGCTACAGAGGCTTAACAACCTTCTCCAATGGCTTAGAACTTGGTCACATCTTAAGGATGCACCAAAAGGCACATTGGCCCTGGCACAAAGGCTAAATTTGACCAAATTTCAAGGTTCTGTTCTAACACACAAGGAACTTACAGAAAGGCTGGGCAACTTTCTTTTTTAATGTTGAGAAATTAGGCTTTCTCCCTTTCACTTGTTCTTGAGAACTGTTGTGACAGCTTGAACGAAATCTAAAATGGAAACAAGCTCAGGCAGTGGCCCACACCTGCCAGGGAAAACTTCAACCCAAAAATAAATGACGAAGTTAGAAGTGCCGAAGGTCTGTTCTGCCAGGAAAAAACGAGACTACTTATGGAGAGCTAGTGCCACCAGGCCTTCTGTAGTATCATAAACATTACAGATAGAAAAAGGGGGAAGGGGACTCTAAGATTGTGTGGGTAGTGCTCCAATACAGTATGGTTAACGACAAAAGTGTTCCCAAGTCTCTAAAAACAGTGGGTGTGGAGTTTGGTTTTTTTTTTTTTGGTTTGGTATTTTTTTATCCCAGTAAGCTGGTAAAGAAATTTGGCTTTTCATATTCATTCAATTCCACCAGAAAATATCTGTGCACCAATTCATCATTTCTTACCTGTGTTCCCGTCCCCACTCTCCATTGATGGTTTACTGGTTTCTGACGGATTGTTCATTCTTGAGTCTGCATTAAAACAGAAATAAAGATAAACCAATACAGCAAAAAAACCCCCCAAATCTATTAATACCTTTTTGCCTAGGGGAAGTACAGAACATCAGAAATTTGCTATGTACTTTACCCTAATTCAGATTATACCACAAAAAGAGCAACCAGAAGCAGAACACAACACTGAATCTTCCAGATAAATATTGTTTCAAAATTTTCTATGTCATTATTCCCATATGTGAAAAGGTGGTATTAAGGGAAGAAAAGACAGCATGCTGGAGGGCAATGATAGGTAGGAACTTAATTTTCAATACAATGAAAGTCACAGAAGAAAAAAAAGGAGGGGGGGAGGAAGGAATAATGACTACACCAAGATTCAAAAATGTGAAGTCTGACCACCATGGCCTACATTATTCTTGTGTTTGTTCTCCCCACCCCACCCTGATAAGAGAAAGGAAATTCAGTCACTACAATTAAATGGATGCCATTTTTCTAATACTGCATTTCTGTTTTACTGGAATGTCACTGACACTAAGTTATTTTATATTTCCTATATATTCATGCAAAACCATATAGGTATAAACCAACCCATTTTCTATCTCCCTCTGGATGAGTCTATTGCAAAGTCTGTTCTTGGTTTCAAAGCCTGTCAGCTGAATGTAGTGCAATGCAGAGGGCCTCTCCAGACAGCAGACAGAGAATATAGTTCCCTCAAAAAGGAATCTATACAGATGTCCTGTATACAGCATCAGCTTTCCAGCTTATTACCTCCTCATTCCTTGCTACTGACCCCACTGAGCCACATTATCACAAACCAAAATTACAAACAGAACCTCAAGACAGACCAGATCATAAAACAAAGTGTAAGCAAATCCTTAAGCCCATTCTTCCATTCCCATAACGAGCTAAAATCAAGTTCAATGAGCTTAAAATGAACCCTTTATTCCAGGATATTCTCTTGCAAGGTGTTTAAAAGGTTACCTCTGCCATGTACTTTCATCAAAGCAGTGATTTCCAAAACACCAGTGGACTGAAGAAGAATACAGTAACAGCACTAACTGCTGCATCTTTCCCCCCACCCCAGACAGTTCCAAGAATGCCCAGGCCCTTCACTGTTTGGCAGTCTGTGAAAGCTGGGAATGAGAAGTGCACTATGGCCATGTACCATCACCTGCTACTACCCAGAGACACCAGTGCCAGGAAGGACGTGGACCTATTGGAGCAAGTCCAGGGGAGGCCACCAAGCTGGGTAAAGGGATGGAGCACCTCTGCTACAGGGACAGACAGAGTTGGTGTTGTTCTACCTGGAGAAGAGAAGGCTCAGGGAGACCTTATAGTAGCCCCCCAGTAACTAAAGGGAGCCTACAAGAGAGTTGGAGAGGGACTTCTACAAGAGCATGTAGTGACAGGACAAGGGAGAATGGCTTTAAACTGAAAGAGGGCAGGTTTGGAATGGCTATTAGGATGAGAGGGTGGTTAGGCACAGGAACAGCCTGCCCAGAGACAGCGTGGATGCCACAGTCCTGGAAGAGTTTGAGGCCAGGTTGGATGGGGTTTTGAGCAACCTGGTCTAGTGGAATGTATCCCTGCCTTTGGCACGGGTTTAAGGGCTGGAACTAGATGATCTTTTTCCAGCCTAAACTATCTGTGATTCCGTGATCAATGTTTTTAAAACTAATATAATTTTCCGCATAAACAACCGTGGCAGTTGAACCCAGTAGAGCCTTGAAAACCCAGAGGCCTGTAACAAGCAGGAAACTTCCCCTCACAAGTTAACACATCCTCTCCAGAGCCTCAACTCCTCTCAGAAAGTTCCTATGCCTATCCTTACATCTTTCAAATGTTCAGCTACGTGTAAAAGAGATCTGAACTATCAGTGTTACTCTTAGTACAAAGGCAGATGTGTTAAACTGCTTTTTGAGAGAGAGAGTGAGGAGAAACTTTGCAGTTAAGCATTGCTGGCCCACACTTCAGCAAGAAGCTGCAAGTTTTGCCCCGTTTTTCACAACCTCTGCTTAGCACATTCAAGCTGTGACTTCAGTCTGGAAAGACAGAACTGTGCTAAGGTTGCTGGTGCAGAACCTTTTGCTTCCAGGCTCCTTATTTTGTCATTTTCTATGTTTGGATAGCGTGATCCACACTCTAGAAGCAGAACATGGGTTCTACTGACTGTACAGAAATGTTTGCTGTTGACACAGCCCTCTCTGCAGATAGATCTGTGTGCAAAATAAATACAAAGTACATTTCTATCTAGACATTGCATATACCTTAAATTGAGTTTAGTCTTGTGGCAACAGCACATTTATTTGGAATGATTACAGGCAACATGCATTTGATAAACAGCATTAGTTCATTCTTTTACACAGAGAGGGCTACTGAAAGTAGTTTATGTTTAGAGAGCACTGAAGGAGAGCCTCTGCTTTTGATGCAAACATCAAGAGTCCCCATCCAACAGGAAGATGAGCAAAAGCACTTTCAAGTGAAATACATTTGGTTGTGGAAACTGGGCTAACTTATGGTGCTACTGGATGTAGGATGTACATTTTTAAGCCCAGAGTAGAGGGGTGGCCTGAACTCACTATACGACTGACCACAAAATGGAAGAGCACAGGCTGAGCAGGGTGTCTCTCAACAGCATGGGATCCATTCCTTGAGTCACTTCAGAAAACTCATGCAAGAAAAACAACACAGGGCCTCCTGTTGCTGGTTTGTTGGAGAAACTGAAGTATTGGAGCTGCAGTGCAGGATACTAATGGTAGAAACCCAGAGGAGGGGACACAGGTGTCCTGTGCACAGAACTCGAAGCAAGGTAGTGACTGTTCTGTCTGTATGAGGAGGCTCCTACAAGGAGCCTTCCTGCATGATGAGCAAGTTTGCTCAGTTACACGAAGTTATCACTGTAGAGACCTCCTTCCATAAAGCAAGCCAAGACGTTTTTCTGTCAGACTGTGCTGCATGATAAACCCTTTTAGAAAAGGTTTCCAGTGTTTTCTAGTACTAGGCATATACAACTACTTATCTACTAAAAGCTTGTCTAGATGAGGAATATTTTATTGTAAAGATCCGTCCTTAACAAAGACCTCAAATGTTCCTATTGCAAAAAAGCAGCAAGTTGGAAGAAGAAACATCTTTCTGGTAGTGCTCAGGTTCAAACGAAGGATAGCATCCATTATTTCACCAGCTGACTACTTCTTGTTCAATCTGTGGGCCTTCTGCATGTAAAGCATCAAGAACAATGGCGCTATTTCCATTGCAAATGGTAGGACATACATCTGAAGCACAAAACTGCTACCAGCAAAACAGACTCATATCCGCGGGATACTGAACCTACGGACTCATTATATGTCAAATAAAAAGGCTATTTGGTTTATGCATGCTCATACAATTTCTGCTTTAAAGGTAAAAGAATAAACAAATGAAGTGGGCTAAAAAAAAACCCCAAACCTTAATGCCTTCACCTTTTCTTCTTCCTTTAGATCTTGCTTGGGTTTTAAATAAAGGCCCTGGGCTACAACTTCTGCCAACATTATCTAAAAAACAAACTCCACAGAAGGAGGGATCGAAAGCAGCAGGTGCATGATTGAAATCAAACTCTCAGGAGCGAATACATTCCATACAGCTACTCTGCTGGCAGGGCTGAGGTGTCGCCAGGCAGCGCCGTGCCAGGCTCTCACACACCCTCAGGAACGTTCCCAAAGGCATTCGGGAGGAAGAAGCAGCGGACACTGGACCAACCTGGAGTATCAGAGACTGTACACAGCTGGTAAAACACCGAAAATCTTAACGTGGTTATATTGCCATTAACTGTTTCCTTTCACCCATCAAAGTGAAACTGCCTAATGCTCCATCAGCACCAGGAATAAATGATTCACTGACGTGCATGGAAAAACCAAAGTTTAATGTGAGTGAAAACACGCCAAGAATTGCTTAGAAATTAATTTTTAAAAAAACACATCATATTCAGAAACAAACATATTCATGTGTCTGCTTTAAAATTTACCATCCAAAAATATATTCTTTTTCTTTGACATATAAGTTCTCACCTGAACTTATACGATGGAACTAAAAGAATAATAAATATATATATGCATACACACACACACACACATTGAGCTTCGTGGAAAAAGCCTTGAAAATAAATAAAACCTATTGTAAAATTGGGATGATCCATTACTATAAATAACTTTAGAAGACATGGAGAAGAAATTATGGCATGTCTGTTCTGCAGCCCTGGTGGAATCTCGGCGCAGGAAATATATTATCCCAGTAACCTTAAGCACAGCTTGCCACGGTATCAATGGCAACCACTGTGCACTCCACCTTATTTTCTATTACGCACGAAGAACCTTGCTATATTAAAAATACACAGACATAACATGCATTCTGTTGTGGAATGGCTCAATACAGTTACTAAATTCTTTGAGACTGAGGCTCCCTCTCATTCATTTTAATGCTTTAAAATTCATAACACAGGGACATGCAAGTCAAGTCCAGCATTTGTTAGAAGCCAAATGCTTCTCAGATTGAAATCCTAAAAGCAAAAGGTCTGTATCAATATCATCCAAGTCTGTGCAGTGGAAACGAATTCTCCTGGAGCGAGGAAAAGGAGGGAGGGAAAAAAAAAAAAAAACCCACAACAAAAAACAAGCCATGTATTTCCCTGGTACAGATCTAGCTATCTATCTACCAGGCAGCTACTTGCTGCCGATTCACTGGTGAGCTCCAGCCTCCCAAATACCCTCTCCCAGCCTCTGCATATGTGATTAAGCCTCTATGCATAGTCAATCTCACAGCCTCGGTGTCCGTAAGAAAGAGCTGAGCTGGTACCCACCTAGAACGTAGTCGCTGCAGTCCAGCATTGCTGTGGTCTCCTCTACGGGTTCAGATAGTCCAAGGAACGGGAGAATGGCAATTTCTATCAAATCTACACTACTGCTCTGACCGAGCACGAAAGGGAGTGGGGAGGTGGGGGGAGAAATACAACTTCAGTTACACCATAGCAATCTTCAACTGAACGGGGAAACTTCAGTTGCTGTGTGGAGTTTTAGTCTCTCCTACTAGCTGTGTCTGACATTGTCAAGGCGACTGAAGCGTGAAAAGTTCCCCTTTTTGTAATAAAATAGAAACAAAGATTGCAGCTGGCAGTTTCCATAATGAAGCTTAATCAGTATGCGCCTGATTAGGGCCTTATGCAAATCTCCTCTCGTTAGCACAGCAGCCAGCACTTTGAAGTCCATGAACAATTCATTTGCAGAGTACACTGAAAGCGCTCCCTGCATAATTTAAATCACGGTATAAATATTTATCAGCTCATTTGCATATTAATTGGCAGTGCATGAAGGGAAAAATTATCTCCCGAGTGCCAGCATAATAATTAGGGAACAAAATGAATTTTCTTCCAATAGCTTGGCTTCTCAGCCCTAACTCAAGCACAGTACCACAGGGGAGCAGGGAGGGGAAGAGACAGAGTTCTGTTCAAATGCCACTGAAATGACACGTACAAATTAGAAACAACTCTACAGACTTAAGCACCTTTAATCTTATTCCTGCTGGCAACAATAACTTCGGTAATAAAGGGGATTTGGAAAAAGCTTTCTACACAATCCGAATAATCCCACGAAAACAATTAGCAAGGTAGAAGCCGAACACAAAGCTGTCAAACCGGTGCTTGCACATCTGCGTGGAGTTTTCCACACCCGAACACGCACCGTCACAGGAAGGTCCTGGGCAGGGAAGGGAGTACCACCAGGGCAAGGAAGCGGCACGATTCCCTTTAAACAGCTAAAGAGCTTGGTGATTCATTATCGGGTAATCCCTTTGCCACGGCCAACTTAACAGCAGTGGATATGTCAAGTATTGTGTAACATTTGACACCCATTAATCTATCCCGAGTGAAATCAAAATAGATTTAGTCTTTTGCTTTCCGATGACTTCCAAGGGAAAAAAAAAAAAGAAAACCAAAAATCTATTACTAATCCCTTCAAACACATCCACAATATGGTTAAATACAGCTTGCTGCGGAGCTATGGTCTGTGAAAGGGGCACGTCACACCCGTGTTGCATCTTTGAACCACCCAATGATAACCAGAACGTGCTCGCTGCTGTTGAGGCACCGGAGAACTGGAAAGAGGCTTTGGTTCATGGAGAAATCAATCTTCTTTTCCAAAGGCGGTCCACAGAACTAAGTGTACCAACTATAAGGCTTTATTAAACCATTTCAAATAGTTTGTTTACCCGTCATATACTAGTGTCCTAAACAGCAAGAACATTTATATAAAAATTCAAGCATGATGTGGGACATCACAACACTTAATATTCCATTTGCTGATCAGGAAAACGTAATGTGATGACACAGATGATTACAGGGTTGAGCCACCCACTTCCAGATGTTAATGTGACTTTAAAGAGGAAGTTGTTGTTTGTTTTGTTGGTTTTTTTTTCTTTAAAAGAAACCCTAGCTGTACTTTTCTCCTCCTCATTTCTGAAGTGAATTCAAGCACCGCCTCTCCAAACAAGAGGGAGCGAGAGAAAAGGGACTTCTCAATCATCCAGTACTGACTGGAATTTATTTCTACGCTTGACCTCTTCTTCTGTTCAGGTTCATATCTCTACTTAACACAAGATGTTCCCAGCTATATATTTAACATGAGTGATCTACACTTGAAAAAGATTGCAAGAAGAGAAGGAGAAGGTGCTCCCTACCTCAGGGAAACAACTGCGTGCACTGAATAGGTTTTCCTAACACCTTGTTTCCAACTTGGTTTTCTACTCATTCACGTGTCCCACTGAGACCTCTGAGGCACGCCTTCATGGTTCACAGACCTTCAGTAAACTTCTCTCCTGCACACATGCTTTTGGAGTGCACTGGGAGATAATCCGTTTGCTTCACTGGAAGAGCCTGGACACAAACGGTGGAACAACCCACGCCCCTCACAAAGCGAGTGCTGGTTTAGGCAGTGGCTGAGTTGAGGCAGCAGCAGCAGAGTGGGAGGACAGCAGCGTCCTCTTTGGGGTCCTCTTCAAATGAGGGTGTTGAGCTGGTGGAGCGCAGGTGCAGCGTCAAGAGTGCAAGGCCACAGGAAGGGACCGTTGAGTTCGGGCACGTGGGTAGTGAGGGGTGACTTTACCAAACAACAGAGCCAGCAAACAGCAACGAAAGGCCAGGTAAGGACATGCCTGAAGCAGCCCTAGGAAGTGTGCTGGTGCTGCCAGCATATCAACACTGCAGGGACAGCTAAGAAAGACAAGGCAGAAAGCTCCTTCCCCTTCCCAACTGTGTCAGTGAATCCGCCTCACAAACACCGACCCCCACACAAATTTCAGCTGTAACATCCACTAACCTGCTAATCGAAATAAAAATGTGTACATTGCCCTGTCAAACTAACAGTTGGCCAAAAAAAACCCAGACAAATTAATTAAAAAACCACCCCAAGCCAACCAACCATAAACAAACACCACAAAACCACCCCAAACCACACTGCGCTTCCAGTGACCACTTCATTCTTTGACAATTTTATTATCTCCCCCTTTATGTAAATTCATCAAATCATAAAATGGTTTGGATTGGAAGGTGCTTTAAAGATCATCTACTTCCAACCCCTCTGCCCTGGGGCAGGGACCCCTTTCACTAGACCAGGTTGTTCAAAGCCCCATCCAACCTGGCCTTGAACACTTCCAGGGATGGGATATCCACTTTTTTTCTTTTTAAATTTGTGCCTACTGCTCCAGCTGCTCCCCCCATAGTGCACATGGTAGAAGGCATCCAAGTTCTTCATTTTTGGCAAAAAAAGACCCTACTGTTTCATTTATGCCACACTACTGCAGCTATTTATCTGAGAGTCTTCTGAAGGAGGCCTGTAGACATAAGAAGGAAAATGTTTGGGGAGGAATGGTGCATTCCACCCTGCTCCAACACCAGTGGTGGAATACGTTCATTTAAAGTTCTGTTCAGGCTCTGCCACACCACTGCTCATTTTTTTCTTTCTGGCTTCTTATGTTAAAGGTTACTTAACACCCTCAACCAAAGTCATACTTCTGGTATTCACGTTTCAGAAAAATAGCACTCTTTGCACACAAAGTTTCACTTTCCCTCCAAAGGCACCTCTAAGAGGAGAAAGTGGTGCCCCTTGTGATCATCAGTGTAAAAACCGCTCCACATCCCGTCAAACTGCAGATATCTCAAAAACTGTCTCTCTCCTCTTCACCCAATTCTACAGGTCTTACATTGATGATTTTTTTTCTCCCATAATTCTATTCATACTCACCCTTAAAACCAGAGGAACTAAGCCACCAACTCAGGTATGAGAAAGGCAGATGTCCTTCAGCCAAACACTTCAGAGCCTGCAGGTAACACTTCAGGAGACTCTTTCTACCCCATTCTCTTCTTTTTGTTACTCTTTATGTATCTTCCATCCTTCCTTTTCAAATGAATGCTTTCCTTTTCCTGCTTCTCCCACCAATATGTCACTTTATTTAGTCAGTTATAATGACCATACCTGATCCCTTAATAACTTTGTTTTTGGAAAAGGAAACTCATTTTTCACTGCAGGCTATGCAACTCTCAGACCTCCTTTTACATCTTCTCTTTTATTTCATTTCTTATGCCCAATTGACTGACTGTAAACTCCACAAAATTATTCCCCCATGTTATCTATTGTAAATAAGTGTGATATATAGTAAAAGTTGTTACAAACTAGGGTGAAAGGACATTTAAACCCTTATCTTCAGATGGCCAGTCTCTCTTTTTCTTTTTTTTCTTAAAAAAACCCACAAAAACCCCCAAACAATACAAATAAAGCTGAATTAAAGGGATGAAGGGCAAAGATACTATCAACATTATTCAACACATTTATGGGGGAAAGGAATCTTCATTTTTATATGGATGTGTTTGCATATATTAGTAAAATGCCATTTACTACATGCCTTCCTGTGACAGCAGAAGAAATTTCAGCCCCCAGCCAGCTCAGTGACAAGCATGACCTTTGCAAACTTCAGGGGTACACTCTGTGATGCAACATGGAGAGATTACCCAACAAGCCATTAATTCATTATTTCCCCTCTGAACAATGTGCTTGGAACAGAGTGCAAAGGAATACATACAAATGGAATACAAAATTACAGGGAGAGGAAATAAGGCATCAACTGTGATGTCTGCGTGTTGCCCTCATTAGAGCATCACTGCCTAGGAGGTTTTCCCCTGAAGAACTACTGAAGAAGGGTGGTCACCAAAGCTTTGAGACCAGAGCACGACATATGATGCCAACCAACACTGCAAAGGCCAGAGTGAGTTGCTCTCCCTGTGCCACACCACTGGCACTGTCTGCCCTGGAGGGGCACCACACACAGCTACATTTTAACTCAAAACATTTCCCAAGCTCCATCCCACAAGCCAAATGAAACCTTACAGAAATTTCAACAAACAGAACTCTGATGTGCTACTAAAATAAAAAAAAAAATTACAAAAATCATGTACATGTCAACAAAATTAACTGTTACTAAAGCTGGCACAATCCTCTTAAGAGTAATTACAGACAGACAGAGGTCTGTTCATAGTTGGGGCTCCAAACTAAGCTCTAATTTTAGCCACCACCTTTGACTTTGGCCAACAGAATTGATTTTATCTGAGAACTGGTAAAGCCAAAGAGCAGTTGTCTGGAAAAGTCAAATAAAATTGGCCTGTTTTAGAATTACTGGTCATTAGGCAATTGCTATGAACTGGAATTTCAATCTGCATCTAATTTTACTTCTCACAAACTCAAAACATAACTATCCTTTAAAACTTCCCACTGCACAAAATACCTTTAAAAATTCTTTAGTGTACGTTTTTTTGAAGGAAATTAAGTACGTGGAGAGCTAAGCAGGAAGGCT